AACGCGCCCGTAGGTCTGAATTTAAGAGGCGCTCACCATAAAGCACCGTGTTGAATTATGGGGGTTTTCGGGCCTCACTCACACACAGGTTGCAGCTGAAGGTGAAACATGTGAGAAGTATAGCTCACATTTGATTTGTTGACAGTAGAAAACAGGTTGGCGTGTGATAAATAGCGTCTAGCGAAGAAAAAAAGAAACGTGTGCCAAAGTGAGATGTTAATCAACTGAAAAAGACACATTGTGATGATTCATCGTGAGGGAAAAGTACAGAAATCATGTTGTGTTTTAACAGAACGGCCAACTACGTAGCGCTTTGATCAGCTTGATGTTTCTTATCTCAGAAATATTGCTATTAAATGTAATATTTTTAAGCATCTATGGAATAAAACTCTACGTGTGCATCAAAAGACATCCACACCACATGGGAGAGCACAGTCTTTTTCTACTTACACTCTCAAAGGTAAGGAAAAGACACTAAGTCTTCAGAGAAGCAGACATTTGTCCTCAAATATTATCATACCATATATGAAATGTGTCGCTTGGGGTACTGAACGGATCTTCAAACATGTTTCCAGTTTATATATGCACGTGGAGATAGAAGTGGCATTTCCACTTTTAGAGTAGAAGTAAAGAAAGTTCTAGAGTACAAAATAAGGAAGCAGATACTCCTAAAATGAACAACATCTACAAGAGACAAACTCTTTATTTGCTTACTTTTGGATTTAGAGAAATAGAAACATAGAAATTCCATTTATTTCTATTTTTTATACTTCTTCATTTGCTTGTTCTCACTTTCTGTTTTTATTTGTATTGTTTATTGTCCTTTAAATGCACTTTTAATGTCATGTTTAATGTATTTCTATGCCCCTGTAAAGCCCTTTGAATTGCTGCGTGTCTGAATGTTGCTCTGTGAATAAAATTGCATTGCCTTTAGAACTCTGTAATTCGCCCCTTGTTGTTTTATGAACTCACATATCAAGTCAAGCGCTAATTGTAATCTTTTATAACGGATAAGTGCCGTGAGTCGGCAGCCAACCCGTGACTCACTGCTGCAGCTGCGGCGCAACAATACTTCAAAGTTAAAGTTCTTCTCTTTCATGTGGTACACCTATAATTCTTTGTCCAGCACCTATCCTCTGGATGAAGTCCAGGAACAATGAAGGTGTGTGCAGGAACAATGCAGAATCAATGAGGGGCGCCAACAATCCGAAAAACCCTCTGCTGTGGTGTGAAAGTTTCATCCTGATAGATTCAAACTAAACCATGAAGTATGTGATGGGGCGAGGTATCAGAGGTATGTGTGTGAGTGTGTGTGTGTGTGTGTGTGTGTGTGTGTGTGTTTGATATACTCTACCACCCGGTACCATCCACCTCCCTGGTTTCTCATTGGCCAAAACTCATTAACAGTTTAATGAGTACAAGTTGACTCTGCAGGTCAGAGTGGCGGCTTTATCAGCAGGATAAGGTTGTGTGTGTGTGTGTGTGTGTGTGTGTGTCCATGTGAATGTGAATGTAGCAATGATACTCACCCAAGATATTTCAAGTATCACCCCCCCCCCCCTCCTGTTGAAAGATGACTGTTAAGATGGCAGTTTCCTCTATCACAGAGAACATCGAAGTATCGGCATAAATTCATGTCAGTTTCAACAGATTCTGATAATGACAGAAAACTAAATAAATCTAAATCTCCATTGGAACATTTTAAACCTGAAGTATAATCCAGGTCTCCACTGCCCGCCTGTGTGCTCAGTATGTAGCGGTGGAGGAGATATTTTACTTAAAGGCAGAATGAGTAGGATTTACCTTAAAAACAATGTATGGACGCATACATATAAAGCAATCCCTCTCTTATTACCCACTAGAAGTGCGTGCCGGTATCTGTATCTGTAGAGACCCGATACTATCGGCGAGCATTTATCTTAATTCGCTGTGTTTGAGGCGTTTCTGGGCGTCAACCTCTATAAGAACATATCGACCAGGGGCCAGATCGTAAGTACGCATTCAAACGGGCCAAAAATACACTGCGCCGAAAAAACCCTAAAAATATAGCAAAATGAAATGCTAAGCGGCCAAAGCTCATTCACAAACGAGACATTCACCCGCTGGCAGGCATCCTAACCCATCTTGTTTTAAGTCGTTTTTTAAGGTTGTTTTATATATTTAGAAGAGTTATTATATTATTTGACCTGTGCCCGTGCATCAGGAGCTGAACCCTCAGGATTTAGATCGCCTCTCTTTTAACCAAACCGCGGTAAAAGTGGCGTGGAGGAGGAGCCACAGTTGAATGTTGTGTTTACAAACCGCAACCGCCAAATCCTCATTATACATTTCTGTAAAGGAGTCAATACCAAGCAACGATACTGCATTCAAAGTCATACAATAAGTAATAATAGATATATTTTATACAAATATATAAAAGGTGCAGAAATATAATCAGCAAAATGTACTTTAAGATTGTGACATTAGGTTATTATTAATGAGTAATTCATGCGTAAGCAGCTTTTTTATTGATGTAGCTTGTCGAGGTAAAGCACATTTTAACTATTTAAAGGGGAACTCCACCAATGTTACGCATTGAGTTCAGTTTACTCATCACGAGGAGTGAAAACAGCTGCACATCTTCTATGGGTCTGCAGGGAGCCATCGTCAACACGGGTATCTCAATTTGGGCTTAATCGCAAATTTAATTCAAACTAGTTTATGACGGTGGACCTTAAAACGCAAAAAAAGAAGCTATGGAGTTGCATTATGGGAAAATGTAGGATCCAATGTTTGACCCATAATAGAGTCTAAAAAGTCAGGATGTTTTGGCCTCTGCAGCATTGATTTTGATTTTTCTTTTTTTTTCCACAAATCACAACATCCAAAGTAACTTATTACGACAGCTGTCATGTAAAAGTAGGGAAATAAATATTCCCCGCTGAACTGTAAAGAAGTAGCATACCAAACTTGTTCCTGTTAAAATCAATTATTAACTTACTGAATTTAAACCGTTCTCCTTCAAAGAGCAGATATGTGTATGTGTGTGTGTGTGTGTGTGTGTGTGTGTGGGTTCAACGATCCCTCTGACACACATACCGATGCTGCTGAATCACCTGGTGACTCCCTGTACAAAACAACCTGCATCCCGTTTAACTTTTCTCCTGTGATCCCGTCAACACCCGCACCTGTCCTCTCTTTGAACACGCGTGTGGCCGTGTCTTTAACATGTATCACTTACAGCAGGAGACGGGCAAACACACACAGACGTTAAAATACCCACACTGACACAGGTAGAGAACATGGGGGGGATTAATGGTGTTGACTTTGGAGGGGATTAGGAACAGGGAGTGGAGAGACTGCTATTACGTCACTAATACTCAGGTTGCATTCACTTTATGCATTGTTTCTTAATTCAAATGACAAGATGTTTCTTTAATTTTCCATATACGGCTCATGTGTTTCGAAACACATTCTTGTAGAAAAAGCTACAACAAAAAACAGTTTAAAAGTTTTTTATGAGCAGAAACACAATTTTTGTTATTAAAGTGGCTAAATTTGTGACTGTAAGTAATACAAAATGTCTGCTGTGTCTCGTGCATACATGAGGCTTTACTGATGTCAAAGCACACAATCTGAAACTCGTGATCAGAGGAGACCGGTAGCGCTGGTGGGAGGGTGAGAGAAGGACGGAGAGTGAAGGGGGATGAGAGACACAACGAGCCCGGTGATGGATGCTAAGAGTGAGACGCAAAGACAGACGTGCCTCATGCTCCTGTTAGCCGGGGCTTAACATGGATTTCTCTGGCATCATTTAGGCCTCTGGGGCGAAAGATACTTCAGCGAGGAGGAGGAAAACTTCAACTGATGGTCCGTGTAGTGCTGGAAAATTCCACCACAGTCTTTGTCACCTGTGTGTCTGTTTCTCTCAGACTTTCTTAGCTGTGAGAAACAACTAATTTAAAAGTTTTCAGGACGTTTTAATTCTCCCCTAGAGTCAGGTTTAGAGATAAAGGAAAAAAAAGACGATGACGACTAGAAAAGTTCACTCAGTAGAGTGCAGATCTCCTCCAGCGCCTTTAAAATCTCAACAGTTTAAGAGGATCAATGATCACAGAGAGGTCTAAGAGTTCATCCTTTCAAGAGTAAAAATGTATTAAAATATACGTTGTACAATTACAAAAAGTTATTCCTCATTTTTTTTCGTTTTCCTACGAAAGTCCAGCTACTCGTGTCAATTTACGCTCGTTACACGTTTACAGTCTTTTCAAAATAAACTACCGTCTTCACAGGAAACAACATAGTTAAGTTTAGGCAACAAAACCAACTTAGAAAAGATTAAGGAAAAGATTCTGGTTTGGGTTAAAATGTAGTTAAAACTTCTACGGAAGTGGCTCTACTTAGGTACGGATGTTACGTGACAAATAAACTTCAATAAGTTCACGAATTACACGCGACACGATCAACGATCTCCTCGAGGAAACAGGTTTTCATGGTATTAAAACAAAACTCATAAGCCTGAGTTCTCTAACTTCTATACAGGCGAAGCTCTTGTGCGACTTTACAAAACTCCAAAGTCCAAGCCGGTCCTGAAAACCACGGCCACGGCTCAGTTCGACAGAGCGAGGGAGGAAAAGTCTAGACGGCTGCACTTACAGGGATCAAAAGGAGAGAGGGGAGCGGGAGGTGAAGGGTCAGAGGTCACCGCCAACCAGTGGGAACAAAAGAACGGTGACTTTGTGTGAACAAAACAGCCAGACACAAAGGCCGGGGTCTGTGTGCTCAGAATGTTGCACAAGCATCGAGTGCGTTGAGGACGAATGATCGAGTCTTATTGTATCGTCACATTGAAACGTTTTTGACAAAGGGGCTGCTGGACATCAATTGCACAATACCCATAGATATATATGGGAAGTATGACGCAGGGACAAACCATGTGAGCAGATAGTAATTTAGCCATCAAGTGCTTGTAATTAAAGTTCTACATCCTTTGTCTTGAATAAGAAAGGACGTGAAAAACCTCTGATAGTAGAGCTTTATTACACCGACAAGGTTGATTTGACATTACATAGGAACATGTACCTTCAGGATTTCTTATGTACAACAACATCATACACGCACACACATGGAACAGACAGTGTTAAGAACAGACAAAGTGGTGGAGAGTCACATGATCAAAGAGACTTTGGAGCATCGTGCGGGTGAGCATCCGCTCACGTGATTATCAGCGAGATGCAAAACCCACACACACAGATCCCATGCGATCCCTTCGCTATATTTACAAGATGGCAGTGGTTCCTCCAGAAAACAAAAGATTGATTAGGTGGCTTTGTTCATTGATCACTTTTCACTCACTACTGGTCGTCAAATCTAGACCAGACCTAAAGAAGAGGCTCATCATCGATACAAAAATATATAGTACAGCAATTTTTTCTTGTCATAGCAAACATTCATACCTGTCCGTCAATGCCCGGTCACAGCAGCAGCCATTCAGATAAAATAATAAAAAACATAATCTGCTCCACAAAGCAGACATTAAAGGGGGCTTTGACCTCAGCAGAGATTTGGAAGTTTTAGCACATTCGCGACAAATTACGTTTAATTTGCATCACAGCGAACCATTCAAATTAAAATTGTATTTTTGTTAAAAGCAGCCATTTGTTTCCATTCATTTCAGGTAAATATGAAAACTGTTGAAAGTTGCTTGAGTCGTGTAACTCATCCTCGTACACCACTTCAAGAGAATGACCTGATGGAAGCAAACCTTTTATACATTGTATTATATTTCAGTCACAAATAAAATCTGACCAAATGCCTCAAGTGATGTCACTAGAGGCGGCCGTTACTAGCGGCTCGAGGCTAGCTTAACAAGCCGGTCGGCGGTCAAGTTGCATTGTGGGTAACGTAGGCGTCACTTTTTCACAAGAACAAAAAAAGGAATGTGTTGAACAGGGCAGTCCCGATATCAGACGTTCACTCCACGACTATCCCGGCCCAAATAATTCACAATAACAATATTATTGCGATATGGACAGAAAACTTTAATATGTAATGTTATTAGTCAAATTCATCTTTGACTTTCGATCGTAAAGTTGTGATGCAAAAATGCCAATTTTACAAGAACTTACGAAGTTGTGAATGAAGTGTTTGCTTTTGCAAGAGACGTAACATATTTTGTATTTTGTGTATGTGTCTTTGGTTTTATATGTTTACATATTGTTGACAAAACTTATATGTAGACTTGATGTTGACTGTGACGGAGTAGCAGATTTTCATACTGTACAGAAATGAATGGAAGTTAGTGGCTGCCTGGAACGGAGTAAAACCTGTACAGCATCCTCTAAAAAAAAAAAAAAAAAAGTCAACAAAAGTGCAACTTTTACACAAGTTGTGGTTGAGAAGCTAGAATGTTCAAACACACTGGTACGGCCTGTTAACATAAAAATATTCCATTCATAAACATACAGTGATATACAGCTGATAGTTACATAACAACGCTGAAGCCAGATGAACACAGAGACCCTTTGAGGTAAAAGTTTAACATGAAGTACTTAGTGGAATTTTGACCAAAAGTTATTTAATTAGTGAAATATTGAGGATGAACTTGTGGGCGTCTCGTTAAAGGAACTAGGGATCCGTTTCATACAGATGTAGCATGTTCTCTGTCAATAAAATGCAAGTCATTTGCTCCAAACCTCAAAGTTTCTATGTGTGTGTATGTTGTCACTGTTTTGACATGATGGGACGTTTCAGATAAAAAAAAAAAAAGAAAAAGGAAATTAAAAGATGCTTCTGACACTTCTCACTCGGAAACATCTGGAGGCTGCGAGATGCTTTTTTTTTTGCCCCTCCCCTCTAGCACATCAAAAAGCTAATTACACAAATAAAGCATCCAGTGAACTGCACACAGGCAGCAGGTTTTGGTTATTTTCACATCCCACCTCACACCTACACTGCCCTTCACCCCGTCACCAGCAAAACCATCGACCTCCACAGCGCCTTGGTGTTACTCACTCAGAGGGGCGCCACAATCTATCAAAGCAGGCTTTGAGAGGAGGTGTGACATTTTCTACGCGACACAAAGCACGGCCATTTGTCAAATATTCATATTACACAGACAGCGGGGGGGGGGGGGGAGAAGGTCCAAGGCCCACCTCTGCGTAGCACGCCATGCCACCCAGAAAGGGAAATCAATCGTTTCCGCGAGTGGACGCAGCAGTCGATGACATCTTTTTTTTGGGGGGTGGGAATCTTCGAGAAGGCGTTTCCCGGCGTCGTGTAATCGTCTTGTTGAGGACGCGGGACGGCTGACCTCACGCTCCCCGGGGGTCAAGGAAAAGTTGATAAGTTCGGCCCTATAGTTCATGGCGGACCCTGTCGTTTGGCGATGCTCGAGAAGATTGAGTGAACAGTCAAAGCTCCAAAAAACTGTGTTTTTCCTCGGCATACCGTGTCCAGTGTTTCACAAGTACATACAGTAGTTCTTCATCACCTCACTGCTTTCTTCTTTGCTCTTTCTTTCTCAGTTATACGAGTCTTTTTCCACCTCCACTCTCCACTTTTCCCCCTCTCAGATGCAGCAGTCTCGCTTCACGTTGCAAAAGAAGGGGGACTGAGCCGGCAGGGACGTGGAGGTGGAGTGGTCGGGTGAGGAAGACAAGGAGGAGGAAGCGGTGCAGTTGGTGATGGTGGTTGTGGGTGAGGTGGAGGAGGTGAGGAGAGACGGGTAAGGGCTCATCTTCTCGATGTTGACGTAGGTGGTGTTGAGCAGGACGTAGTGCTCCCCGCTGAAGCTGGAGAAGATGGCGGAGATGCGCGACACCAGATCGGAAAAGGAGGGTCGCCGCTCCGGCTTTGGATGCCAGCACTCGATCATCAGGGTGTAGCTGGAGGGACAGGAAAGGAGTTCAAAAAATCTCAAATTTACCCTTTTTCAGAACTTTACACTATTTTATGCACTATACAACTAATAAGTACATCAAAAAGCTGAAAATTAAAGGGGACATATGCTGATTTTCAAGTTCAGACTTGTATTTTAGGTTTCTACTATAACATGTTTACATGCTTTAATGTTCAAAAAACTCTTTATTTTTCTCACACCGTCTGTCTGAATATACCTGTATTCACTCTCTGCCTGAAACACTCCGTTTTAGCGCCTGTCTCTTTAAGACCTCTCTCCCGATAAAGCCAGCAAAAGTCTTCTCTAATTGGTCACAATTTTCCAGTCTTCCACATCTGCGCTATTTTTATCTGCTATTTCACTTGGGATATGTTTTGACGTTTTGTTTTTAATTTCTTCACATTTTTGTGGCAGCATAAAGTTCTGTTTCTCCTCTTGTAGAGTTTTTTTCCATGCAACAATAAATCGTCTATTAGCCACTATTTGAACCTGGAAAACGTAATGTTTTTTTACTGTATCACAGGGGCTTCATTCTGAAATGCTGCAATAGATATTAATAGTTCACTTCACCACTCAGTAGTCCTCAAACATGCTGTAAGTTATTCCTCACTCTCAGGTGTAGTGCATGTGAGGTGAAAACGTCTTTATTATTTCAACGTGTCTCGAAGATAACTTTCACACTGACTATCAATCAACAAAACTCTTGAGTCTCTGATATTGCCGTTAGTGTTTTCCCCCCCCACCGACTTGGCAGAGCCACCCTCTTCATTGTTGAAAATGAAGAAGAATGGGCCCATTACCACACGTCCGAGGTATCTGCCAGCGGCTGCCATCACCAAGACGCCCCGTGAACGATTGGAAGTGAAGGATTGCGGGAATGTTTGCAGGCGTGCAGATCACCCCCTGATGTCTCTGTTTAACTTACAGCTTGGGAACATTGGGCCTCTGCCTCCCTCACCTGAACACTCCCACTCCCCTCTAATTTGCACTCACACCACACTATAGACCTGCAGTGGACCTCGTGGCCTTATCGGCACGGCATGAGATCCCACTTGGCATTCGTTTCACTGTAATGGCGGGTCAGAGTTTAATGGATAGACAGTTCAGCGAGTGCTGCGTTGACACTGAAATACTTCCCTGTGATTTGATGTGATATTTGGTAATAAATCACTGTATGTTTTGCTGCTTTCATTTCTCGTAACAGAGAGGTTGCACTTGTTTTAGCCACGTCAGGTAGTGGCGGAATTGTTATCGGCAGATGGCCGCCGCTCTGACCATCCAGCTTCGTTGATTTGAACAGGAATGTCCCTTCTCCCCGTATTTTATTTCTATGCTTCTATCCTGTGTTGACCGCTCTTTAACTACCACAAAGACAAAATAAAAAAGTAACTGGCTTTGGATTTCGATTTGAAACTGTGACTTCTATTTGACCCACAGCTGCGATGAGACGTAACGCTCGACGGCGAGTGTGCTTCAGACCATTGCTAAGGTGGATGATGGATGATCTCAACTCGAGTGGTTTTTATTTATGACTCCAATTGCTTATTCTGCTCTTTCTTTCACCTCCACCCGTTCCCCCTGCTGCCCTTTCCTGACTTCAGACTGTAGCTCTTTCCTCGTGATGTGTTTAAGTGCAGCTCTACAAGTATATATCACTCACACTAAACGAGCCGTGGCACTTTGCTAGAGGAGGCGAATGACAGGTGAGTACTAGTATGTATATATCAGGGGTCTCCAACCTGTTTTTCCTCTGAGAGCTAATTTGACAAAATAAAAGTGTCGAGAGCTGCTCATAGCACCAAGTAGTACATCTGAAATATAACTTTTGTCTTACTTTTATGGTGCTTTAATAACGTTTTTGGTCACCGCAGTCATCACCTCTATTAAAATAACACCATAGGCGAAGGGATTTTTGTGTTTTGTCGGGATGTGTGCCACTAAATAAAGTCTTTGTTGTAATAGCTTTGTTTTCAGCTCTTCTACCTTCTCTGTTCGTAGACTGTACTGTATATAAGAAATGGACGTAGTCATCGTCAATGCTGTATTGAAGAAGAATTGAAACTAGAGATTGAGACCCTAAACTCATGTTTACAATGTTTACTGAGGTAATAAATCAAGTGAGAAGTAGAGTCATTTTCTCATAGACAACTAGAGGAGTCGCCCCCTGGTGGTCAGTAGAGAGAATGCAGCTTTAAGACACTTCCGCATCAGCTTCACTCGGCAGAACCGGAGGTTGTCGCCTGGATGTAACACAGACTTGAAAGCAGCATAACTCGTTAATTGACAGCTGATAATCATTTATATATATATATATATATATATATATATAATCATTTTTGTGTCAGAAGGGGTTGGTGTATCTGTGAGTTTGATTGGATGGAAGTTTAAACGAAGTGACTTTGTGTTGTCACAGAAATGGGTAGCTACTTGTTGGAGCCCCCTGGTGTGTGTGTGTGCATGTGTGTGTGTGTGTGTGAGTACACTTACAGAGCGTCGGGGCAGAACTCGGGCTGCAGCAGCCTCCTCCCCTGCAGCAGGAACACGGTGATGTCGAAGGAGTTCACATCCGAATACGGTGGAGCTCCGCGGGTCATCAGTTCCCAAAGCAACACGCCAAACGACCACTACAGGGAAACACAAGAACATGAACTCCCACTTGTGTCCTTTCACTATAAGCACACTTTTATCCATGGACACTGATTCTGAAGTTATTTACATCACACTGTTTGTTGTAATGTAAAATAAAAATTGCCAAGAGCCCTCACCACGTCTGACTTGGGGGTGAACTTGTGTGTCTGCAGACTCTCCAGAGCCATCCACTTGACGGGCAGCTTGACTCCGCTCTTGTTGTGGACGCTGTAATATTCTTTGTCGTAAACGTCTCTGGCCAGGCCGAAGTCTGCCACCTTCACCGTGTAGCTCTCATCCAGCCTGTCGGTGCAAAGAAGAAGTCACTTTTTATTATTCTGGATTCTATTGTTTCTGTTTCTTGTATTCGTTCTCATCTCCTCTACAGCATTATGTTTTTCTGTTCTCTACCCTTCCAAGCTGTATTTGATGAAATATCACAATTCTAAGTTTAGTTTTGGTTGCTTTTTGCTGACAGAAGCGTTCGTCATGATGTGTTCAAGGACCCTCGTAAAGATGAAAATCTGACGATTCTGACAGTTTTTTTCACAGCTTCTGGCGATTGTTTAAATAAAAACTTACTTTTCCATCCCGTCGGCGGGTTTTGGGGCTCATAGGGTTAATTCTGTTTTAGTCTCATCCATAGTACCTTGCTGTATTTATACTGTAGAATACACTCATATGACAGATAGATGTGAACTCACATGCAGTTCCTGGCAGCTAGGTCTCGGTGGACAAACTTCTTGCTGGCCAGATACTCCATCCCACTGGCCACCTGCAGCCCGAAGCCCATCAGGTCCTTCACTGTCGGGTTCTGTTGGTAAAAACTACCATCAGAGGACTGGGAGACAAACAGCTGACTTGGTTTGACATCATTTCTATTTCAACGTGATCTACGTAGAATGTACTGTACATCAGCACATATACATATATGTGTAAATGTCTCAATATGCATTTCAAGAGCCTGTGAATAAATCAGAACATGCATGCGTCTATCTCGTGTACATACATGTCCTTCATCGCGGATAAAGTTGCGCAGGTCACCGTGCTTCATGTAGGGCAGAACCACCAGCGGCGAGCCCTCTGGCGGAAGGCAGATTCCCAGGAGAGAGAGGACGTTCGCGTGGCTGAAGTCCTTCATGATGATCCCCTCCTTCAGGAACTGGGACACCTCTTCCAGATCTGTGATGCCTTCATAAAAAATAGAGAGAAAAAACAAACATTAACAAATTGTAGATGAGGAAACGACGATGGCGTATTCGGGTCATTGAGGGTGATTGTTTTATAAACTACGGGGAGGGGGATGACATTCAAATTGAATCTGAGAGAAAATTCAAGGTTTTTCTTGGAATTTGATTTCCCGCCGACACGGAGATTCTTTTTTCTACCTACAATGGCCCAAATAAACAGCTGTTATATTCCAGAGCAGGTAAAGGACAGAAGAGTCGGCGATGTGGGATATATTATGGAGTACTACATTTAAGGATTTGGAGCAACTCTGCTGTACTGACATCAGCATGAAGGTCATTCCTTATACTTCTGGGGGAAAAAAAGGATGATGATGGTGATCAAGCAGAAAACAATATCCTCACCCGGACCTGACCCACGCCAAACTCCCATTTGCCAATTGCATCCCTGCCTCTGATGTCCCGCACTTTAGCCCCACTGACTCTGCTGTAATCTGGTTAGAGATGGAAGCTCTTTATGTCTGGAGAAACCAGCTGATTAGCCTTCATCTGAGGTTAGACCCCCCCCAAAGATAGAAAGAGATGACTTTTGATTTCAAAGCCTAAAAATGACGTCATATTATAGAAAATGCGTCTTTGGCTCTTCTACTTTCAACAAATCACCTAATATATATTGGAGGAAAAGCATCAACTCAAGGTCTCAAATATAACAAAGGAACGCCAAAAAAACGATGACATGGCGCCCTGAGAAATCACTAAACTTAATAAAAAAGGTCCAAATCCCAGAGGACGAAACCCCAGCAGGCCGAGTTCATCCCATCCCGCTGTGTTTGGTGGCTCCTTGAGCTTTCCCCCACATTACTCCAGCATCAATCTCCCTCGGTCCAACTGACAGGTTACACGATTAGCGGGGACCCTAATGCCGTCCTCACCGCAGGACGCTCGTTCATCACCATCGGCTCAGCCAAAAAGGACTCGGGGGCTCTGATGAGATGAAGATCCTTAATGCTATTGGAGCATTGTGATATCATACAATAAGTATGCATTATAAGCAGATGTAGGATGGAGAATAATTACGGCTGGATGTGAATATGTTTGGACGAGGAGAGAGTGTGTTGAGTGTGTGTTTGTTCTGAGAAAAGAATAAAACATAAAACGTCCTTTTTGCAGCATTTTGTTGAATTTAAGCTCATGACAAGACGTTACATAAACATAAACGTTACAATAAAGGCTTCCCATACGGTCAACACATTACACATGACAAGACTACATGCTTTTGAAAACACTTCGAAGTTGTTTCTTTTAGCATGATTTTAAACCTAAAAAAAAAGCCACATTCAGGCTGTTTTCATACACTGCAGCTAATACCTACAAAAAGTCCTGTACTATAATTAATTCATAACCCACGCAATGTGTTTGACAGGTGATGTAGTAGAAAGAGCAACAAAGTCCCCAGAGGGTGGAGGTCGGGCGGCTCTAAAAAAAGACCAGACTGTCATCCAGAAGACTGATGTTTGTGTTCTGAAACCAGAAGTCAACGTTCACTAATTTGTCCCCGAACTTCTGTACTTAAGTTTCAACACTTGCATAGTTATTTCAACCCAAACGTTGACTTATTCTCTATGTAACTTCCAGACTTAATTAATGCCACGGGATCCGCGATGTTGTACCGCCATGTTTCTACAGAAGCCCAGAAAGGACAAGCTGAACACTGGCTCTAAAGCAAAGCCTTTAGCGTTGTTATGCTACCTGAAGGCCTCCGTAGTTCTCCTTGTGTAACGTGAGCTGCAGAGTGCAAAACCGCGGTACCGGCAGCAGCTGTCTTGTCTACCGTTGTTGCTAAAGTAGTGTTATTATGGTATGGATGGCCTCTGAGCGAGGCCAACGCCATTCGCAGAAAGGAAGGAGAGAGCGGAGGGGTATCCAATCGGTTGCAATGTGCAACCTCACCGATAGATGTCACCAAATCCTACACACCGTTCCTTTAAATTTAAACTGTGCAATTAAATGTTTCTGGTACTCTTGAGCTAAAGAATCCCCCCCCCCCCCCCCCAAAAAACAATTCTTAACTTCCAAACGTAATTGAAAGCTGCAACACTCTTTTCTTTGTGAAAAGAAGATGGTACGGATGAATCTATGTAAAAAAATGATAAATGTCAAGCCGGGCGTTGCAGAAAAGAAAAAAAGCTTTTATGCTCAGTGCACTCTTCTTGTGACAGTTAAAGGGAAAACGTGTAATTTTGCTTATTTCTACAGGCTTTTACATGTAAAGTGGGGTTTGTACTTACGGTTCAGGGACTTGATGGCACAGTGCTGCTTCTGCCCGTCCGGCTCAAGCAGCGTTCCGTGGAAAACACACCCGAAGTGACCTGCAGGTTACAACACGACGCGTCAGTCAGAATCAGTCAGCATCGGTGAATTCAGCAGCTCCTGTTCAAACCTGTAGGGTCTCTCCTGGCAAATCAACCCACGCGAAAAAATAAGCCTCCCTGAAAGACGTCCACTTTAAACAGTGACGCTTGAGATTAAAATTTTCAGTCCCAATGACGATGAGGTCACAGCTGTGAAGCAGGTGAAGAATGGAAGCCAGCATCAGTCTGTACTTTGGGATGTTAACCGCTAGGGACGTTAAAGTTACTGGATTGTTGGTATCGTGACATCCCTAATGGTGGCAGACTTTGATTAAACTTGTGATTTACATCCCAAATAATCACAAACCTGTCTTCAAATCATTTAAAGTTAAATGCGATGACACTGTAACGTCTTGCTAACTAACCCATGAGGCCTGAGCAGAAACATCACCAGAGAGTGTTCATTTATTTTAGCTCTGCACACCGAGAGCTACTGACAGCCCGATTCCAACTCCTTGTATAAGCGAACATACTCGTCCAATAAACTGGTCTGATTCTGATCACCGCATGTTGCTTCACGTACTCGTCCTGATGGATGAACGAGCGAACTGACGTTTGCCCATAAACGGTAACAGCTGTATGGCACCGGCTAAATGACCATGAAGACGTTTGCAGGCCGATCTTTTTGGATGTTGTGCAAGAATCCAGAATCCTTCATTTCCATCTTGGCTGGCTGAAGCCCCCCCCTTTTTTGGATTTCTTTTTATGACAGAGCCTCTATGATTAAGATCTTGCGTCCTGCCAGTTGGCTCCCTGATCACAGAACTTTCCCAGAAATTAGAAGAAAGAATATCTCCACTGCTCACGCATAGGAATCATTTTGTTTAGAGCAGAAGCATCAAGGTGATTTCATGTTGTGCGTGCTGCTTTTTTATGCAAGGAAAAGTGGTTTTCAAACAGCTAATTCAGATTCTCTTAAGTTACCGTCACCCTCGCACTAAATCTGCCCCCTCAAGTAACCCAGTACGAAGCTTTATTCATTAAAGCCCCACGCAGGCTATTAGCCTCTGCCAAACCCCCTTGAATTATTGTGCATTTCATTGAATTGTATCTCTTAAGACGTGAGGGTTTCACCCCCAGACCGGGAGGAGTGCGGGGAATAAAATGAGCGCGGCGTTCTCCTATCACGTCCCCGTAAATGTCTGAGGGGGTCGGATTACGACTCCCAACAATGGGGCCTGGGAATACTAGCTGTGAACAAATCATCCTACGCAACAGCCCCGAAATTCAGGCTCTTTTCTTCAGGGGGGGGGGGGGGGCAGAGGGCTGCGTTTAGGGGTCTTTCACCTCTTGATGTTGAATTTGATCCGTGGGTCTGACTCGGCTACTTAAGTGCGAGGTGATTTTTGTGTCTCGCGGTTTCGATGAAGCAGGCAATTAAGCTCCCTGTGGGCGACTTTATCTTTTTGCATCGCTTCACATGAATCTTATATTCATTCTGAGCTCGCTGGACGATAGCATCACTCCACATGAGATAGAGTCCCACTGGAATAACGTTTTTGTTATTATTTCTCCTTTTTTACAACATACATTTTTAAGATGCTGGACGCTAAATATATTGAAACGGAAAAGCAGACTTTAGGCAAACATGATGAGACAATCTTTCTTGTTTTAGTTCATTGTTTATCACTTTTATTTTCCCTTATTATTCATGATAATGCACATCCAAAGCTATAATGCTCTTCTTTAATGCAGCATCAGAGGCACACTCCCTGAATATTTTCTAGCATAGCTGCAACGGTGGCACTCGGATTGATGATTGCTCAGTTCTGACTTTATGCTTTAAAAGCTTTGACACAGCGGTTTGTATTGACGTAACATTTTCAACTTAATAAATGTCGGCCTCGCTGTTTTATTTTGCACATTAGTAGCCTGCAGCTCCTTCCTGGAAAATGTTTTGTTTTGCCAAGAAATGCACGGGGAATTATGCATTTTACATTTCCTTTTTGTGGAGAGTGAGTAGAAGAAGAACTGGGTTAGTTCTGGGTTAGCTGTTATGAGCACTTATGATAAAAAAACATTTTTCAATGGGGCTCAAAGGTTTTAACAGCTCCAGTTCTGGAAGTGAAAATCTCATTTGTTCACTCCATTGACATTTCCGAAAATCAAAAAAATGTGACTCTAAATGGACCATAATGTACTAAATGAACATCATGCTGTATTGAAGAAGACTTGAAACTAGAGATTGAGACCATAAACTCATGTTTACAATGTTTACTGAGGTAATAAATCAAGAGAGAAGTAGAGTCATTTTCTCATAGACTTCTATACAACCAGAGGAGTCGCCCCCTGGTGGACACTAGAGAGAATGCAGGTTTGAGGGACAGGTTGCATGGTTTTCCACCAGAGGGGGCGGGGCTTAGCCTCTCGATACCAACGTTTCTCGTGGTAAGTCCACCTCGGATTGTCACGACATCATGGCTGATAATCAAAATCCTTGATTCACGATAAGAATGGGAAATTCACTTGTGGAAGCGGCACCATTGAGCTCTTTTAACCTGAAATATTTTACCAAAATAAATGAAAACACGACCCCGAGAGAGACCCAGTGATATGTAACACTTTAAAACGGTCTATTTTAACAGTGAAGGAAGTATTTGCGTGACCGACCTCTGCCGATGACCTGGTTGAGGTGGAGCAGCAGCTGCTCCCTGGCGATCACCACGTGCTGCACCTCGGTCAGCAGGTCCGGGTGGAGGCAAGACGGGTCGATGTGGACCGGGGCCATCAGCAGGGGGGACACCAGCTCGCCCTCCATTCCCAGCCCCAGACCACCTCCCATTCTCCTCAGTCTGGGAGACAGCAGCTCCCCGTTGCCCCCGTAGATGGGAGGAGCAGCCCGGCATGTCTCCGGCCTGTCGGTGCCCTGATCTGGAAAAAGCAACGGAGGGTCAGCGACTGTATCAGCGGGGCCTCCACAGGTCAAGGTGTGTCACATGATCAGAAAGGAACGGCTACAAAGGCAGAGAGCAACTTGACACTGTGATGGAGGGAAGCTGGAGAAAAACAAAGTCTCTGATTTCTCCTCTGCTGCCGTTAGTGGACGGAGAGTAAAGGCAAAGAAACTGCGTGCAACAATTTAAAAATCTTTTCCAAAGAAGGGGACAGAGGGGACTCACAGACATAATGAGCTCAGGTATAACCTTATACATGTACCACCGCTGATCCTAAACCCCAACTCTCCCCGAGGACAGGCACTAGTTCATTAGTAAGTCTATCTAGTCACGTTTTAAGCCTTTCAAGGCACTGTTTAGACGCAGGAAAATTGCTTTGCCCATCATACTCAGGATCAGACTACATGGAGCGCCCCCCCCCCCCTCAACGCCCTCAGGATTCAAGCTCAAGAAACCAAAACCACAGGTGACTCTTAAGATCACATCAAAGTTTTAGGAAGACTGGCCCGTTGGTCAGTTTACAGTTTACTACCAAAAAAGGTTACTTTGTTTGTTTTTATTATCATTTGAGCCTTAAGAAGAGTGTTTTAACAGTCTTGATGAAAGTCCAGAGAGACCAAAACATTAGTATTAGTTCTTACCGGAGCGGGCCGGGGTTCAAATCCGAGCTACGACCCTTTGCTGCATGTTGTCCTCTCTCTCTCTAACCCTAACCCTCCCCCTCTCTCTTCCCTTTCCAAACTAGACTATCCAATAATGAAAAAAGCCCCCCAAAATAAAATTATAATAATTCATAAAAAATAAATGAATACAAAAATAAAATAAATAAAATAAAAATGAACATCAAAATACATAAATAAATGGATAGTAATCCAGATCTTCTTTTATCAAGGTTTAAATTAATCTCCATCTGTGTGAATATCTCCTTTAAATCAGTGACTAACCAACAGAGGATGATCATTTACTCTGCAGCTCTTTTCAAGCCTTTATTAGTTTAAGTTTCACTAACTCTTCTCTCATCAACCTCGTTTCTAGAGCTGCCGCCTCTATTGGACGACTAATCGGTTGTTTTGGTCTTACTCGACTAAACTCTCTTGATTAGTCATTCTTCATGCCTTATTTCCAAGAAACCTGTGAGCACATTGTGGACACAAGTGTTAGCTCAACTCGTTTCCTGCCACAGCAGACACATTTAGATGAATCTGCACCACGAACAGTTATTTGATGACTTTTGAAAACATCAGTAAAAAAGATTTAAAGATCTAAAGTCCTTTTTTAAACATGCATTCTCAGCTAATTTGAGGATGTTTGTTCGTAATGAACCCACAAAACTAAAAGAAAACCAAAAATTAAAAAATGTAAAACTTAAAAACTTTAAGAAACCTTGAACTTAAAAAAGCTTTAAAACTTCATGAAACTTAAAAAACAACTTTAGCTTAAAAAAAACTTAAAAGACTTCAACTTAAAAAATGTAAAACATTTGGATTATGGGGTCTATGCTACACTGAGAAAAAAGAAGCCTGCGGATGTTAGTCCAGAGCATGTTAAGGCATGCACTGCTAGCGTTCAGTCCCACAGGGAGGCAAGCAGGTAAATGGGAGATGGGACAAGAAGATGTCAGGTGGGGGTGGGGGAGGGGCTTATCTGGTTGACGTACCCTCCATCAGGGTTGTTCTATAGTCGACCGACTCGTGCGAGACCATTTCGTTAGTGGGGCTGACATTCCTCGCGTTAGCCAGCCTGTCCAGATGCTGGATGTGACCCCGGCCATCATACCACACCTCAGACAGATCTAGAAGTCGAGGGAGGAAGGGAGGAAGGAGGGGAGAGAAGGAATGATGGAGACATAAAGGGGATAGGAAGCGCGTAGAAGGAGAGGTGAGAGAGAAGAGAGGAGTGAGATAAAAGATACAAAGGGAGGGGGAGAGATGAGAGAATTACTCAGAAAGGCAAAGCGTTTCACCAGCGCTCCCAACACACAAACTCACTGTCATAAAACCACCAGGCAGACACACATGCACAGGTTAGAGAAGACGCACTGAACTGCAGCAGCATGAACGCAAACATGTGAACGCACACGGGCTGCTGCAGGGATGACGTCATTTTGTAGTCCAACCAGGAAGTTAGCTTCGCACTGGTTCCCTCCCACTGGATTATTGATTATTGCAGAAAATAAGCTCTGTGGCAAACAAACGCTTTGTTCAGAAAGATAATCTTCACAAATGTACACCACTTTTATGTTTTCTTCGAAGCGTGGATACAATCGGCAGAAGTAAAAAGCTAACATTAAGCTATGTCGGCGTGATGTTTCGTCTCATTTAGCCTCTGGTTAGCGACCGCCTTTTTAAAGACGCTTAAGAGCTTCAAAATTCACGAGAGAGGTAATTACTGACTGTATCTTAAGCTTGTGTGAACCACAGACATTATGTCAAGTGTCCAACCAAAAAACAAACATTGACTTCCAGATGAGGGAACACAAAGTGCAAAAATGCAGATTCATTTCCAGGTTTTATAACTCGTTCCTGCAGCACGCCATCATATAGATTTAAAGTCCCATTTAAATGGAACGAGCGTAAAGTGACACGTGTTGCTGGACTTTTATGGGAAAACTTACGATAAACAAGGAGTAACTTCTTGTAGGATATCATACGAACCGTTGCATGAGGACACGCTGAGTCATCACACATTTGAAAACGTAACTTCCGTTCCACTGGGACTTTAAAATCTATTTTCATCTCGATTCGCTGACATATTTCATTCTTATTGGCAGACTTGTGTCGCTGCCTCCTCGATTTCAAAATATTTACTCAATTTTCCAATATTCTGGCTTCACCCAGTTGTATTTCACAACCTCACTGGACTTGACCTGACTGGAGAGTCTCATTAACACAATATCTCAAAGAGCAGATAACATTAGAAAGGACTGTGAGATCAAAGCCAGTCGGTCGCTGTCTAGGATTAAAGCTAAACCTTTGACCCCCCCGTCGTCTCTGCTCTCTTACCGTCGATGTGTTTGTTCCTCCTCCACATGAGCAGTGTTCCCAGCAGCAGCAGCAGCAGCAGCAGGCTGACGCACACGCAGCCCGCGATGAGGCCCGTGTATTCCGGCTCCTGAGCCAGCGTCACCTTGCCCAGGTGCCGGATGGAGTCCGCCTGGCGCCACTGAGAAGAAGCGAAAAGAAGGTTCGGGGTGTCACAGAGGGAAGGAAGTTTATTTCAACAACACCGAAACTTACCATTGATCAACCCTCCATCCATACGGAGGGCAGAGGTAATCAACTGAAGAACTGGTAAAGATTCATGGCATATACATACATACAAGAATGTAAAAGGTATGAAACTGGCATTCAGGTATATGGTAAGCAACAACAACAACAAACACACACACACACACACACACACACACACACACACACACACACACACACTGTTTCCACAGTCTGGAGGCAGATTACATCAGTGATATTGCTTCTGCTATTATTAGGTTTAGTGGAAATGAGGTTTCTACTGCTGCCTGCTGCTGCAGATGGGATGGTGTGTGTGTGTGTGTGTGTGTGTGTGGGTGTGTGTGTGAGCTAAGGGATATTGGCTGACCATCCCCTGAGATAGTGGCTTTTCCTCTGAAGGCCAGTTCACAAGTCAACAGCGATGAGGCCGGTAACGTCCGGCCTGGAGAACGGCGACCGCTGGAAGTTATCTCTGAGGGACCGCAGCGTCTAATATTAGTTTGTGTCATGAAAGTTAGGACGCGTCTCTTATCAAAGCTCTTATAACCCACCGGGATGTTTGGAGGCTGTTTGCTGCAAACAAGGACGCTAAAACTGCAAGTTGCATTTTTGGTTTAAAAGTAAAAAATTATAGATTTAACAGAGTTATCATCTAAGCTGCCTCAACTATACTTCTACGTTTACAAGAACGCCTTTTCACAATCTCTTGAAATTGAGGGAGAAGTTGAGTAAAAGCAGGAAAGTGAAGGTTTTATGTGTATCTGTGTTTGTTGCGTACATTCACACTGATACATTTGGGGGAGTGGCTTTGGACGGAGGCCTGAAGGGACGGGCTGTCAGTAGCAGAGTTGGTGACTTTCTGGCTATTTTCAGCGATTTTTGGAGCTAATGCTGCTCGCTACCTTCATTTTAAAAGAGTCGGCTACACTGGGCTGGGTTTTTAGGTTGGTTCATTTTTAAAAATCTAGTTTCTCAAGATTACAACCCTGCCTTTAAGATATCTTTGTTCCGCAGAGTGAGTCCCAGGTGCTAAACATCTGTCCCGTCTAAACCCTCATTGATAAAAGACAGCGTGAGCCGTGGGGGTTTGGTTCCTCTGACATTTCTGTACTGTACGCCTCCTTCTCATGAATTATATCCAAGTGACAAGACAGCTGGATGCTGAGCCCTCTCACTCAACACACTGTCTAATAAATTCTCCCTGAGCTGCTTTCTGTTTTTTTTCGGTCTGTGTAAGGGACTGCATTAGGACAGGAGGGTTATTGAAGTTTGCTGTAAACGATCTGGAGCGCTGAAGGAATGTGGCGTTTCCCATGGATTTTCCCAGAGCGCAGAATGAAGAGTTCGATACGGCCGAATGATCCTGTTACTGCAAGTAAAGTCTATCCGTTTTATTATTGTCAACCTGGAAATACAACACTTTCAATAGAACCTGGAGCTGTTATTCATTTCTAACTAAGTTAAGTTAAAATATACTCAAAATGTTCAGGGCTAAACTAGTTCTTTCACATCCATCCATCATCAGTGTGTCTCGGCCTCTTCCTCCTCAGAATACTACGACGCTGGGATCTGATACGATACCTTTTATTGCTGAAATTCCTCCTGTGAGCCTGATAACACAGACAGCGGGGGATTTTCACATGAAAGCATTACAAGTGGATTTATGGATCTCTGCTGCTCTGCATCCACTTGTCTCAGAGCAGATGTTTGACACAGAATATCTTGTTTGGACATCAAAAGCTTTCTCGTGATCTTTATTGGCTCACAGGAACATTAGTGCTGCTAGAACGAGGGTTAAAGGTAAACAAATATAGAACTAATAGATATTACCATGAAACCTTTCAAGTTTATAACTAGCGTTAAGACAAATATATTTTGTATTGTTTACATATGCAAATGAGGCGTTCTCTCTTTGAATAAATTCTTGTATCTTTTTGTTTATATTTTTATGGTAAAGGTTTTCACTGAGGGAATTTTGGATATATTTTCGTATCACACAATAATACTGTCAACAGCCATAAACAATATAATTTTCTCCATGTTTTTAGCCATAAAATGTTGCATAAATCAGGTTATGAATGCTGTGTGAACAAACCCCTCTGTGTTATCCTTCAGCACACAGAGAGGAATGAAAGTGTAAAGTTTGGTGAATGTAAGAGCTGCTGAAGTGGAGATTTCTGGATCAGAGTCTGAGAACAAACTCATTTAGAGGAAACGTTTAGTTACATTACAGACATTTAGAGTCTCTACAGGTGAATAGGATCAAAAAATGAACTCATGGATCCCCAGTTGATTACTTATTACACCACCTATTAAATGATTGAAACATGCAAATTAGATTAAACACAGTTGGAATGATACAGAGTGGAAAGTTGATTCAGTCATCCGCTGTTTTTGCAACATTTCTGCTGCTGTTTGCACACTCTTGTGTTCTTTACTTCAAAGGGATGATGAGCTAATCCACTAACATGCAAATACTAATCTGAGCATCAATAAACAACACACCCTGACACACACACACACACACACACACACACACACACACACAGCAATACAAACACCCCTTCAAACACACACTGAAGCTTTTGGAACAAGACATCTATTGATATGAGTTAAGAGCGTGTGTGTGTGTGTGTGTGTGCGTATTTTTGGTGAACTGGGTGTCTCTATTAACAAAAGGCTGCGCTTAGTAAAGAAAGTGTCTTTATTGACCAACTGTTGCACACGCGATTGAGAGGTGGCGTGTATGTTTCGGTGTGTGTGTGTGTGTGAATCTCTATACATGGCTTTGTAGTCTGTATGTGGGAAAATGTTAATGTGTATGTGTCTACATCTCGTTTTGAAGGTTTGTGACAAAGTGCAAAAAGAAAATGGGCAATAAAAAGAACATAACAATACCGTAACAATTTAAGATTGCTGCTGAAGATCAAAAGAACAGACGGACCTTTTCTGCTCTTAATGCAAACCTAAAAGCACATTTCACGTGTCTCACCTCCACCTGCAGCTCCTTGGAGGAGGCGGCCTGCAGCTCGGTGGGGACGGTGCACTCCAGAGTGTTTCCACTCAGAGTCAGAGTCTCACAGCTGTGGTTGGAGACCGTCAGGACCTGACACTTCATCGCCTCCCTGTCCATATGGTCACCCTGCGGTGGAGGGAAGGGGGAGGAAAGGGGGAGGAAAGGGGGAGGAAAGAGAAAGAAAGAGACAGAGAGAATGAGGGGAGAAGGAAGTTGTGGGATAGAAAGCGACAGGGAAGGATGGAGAGAAGGATGGAGAGGCGGATTGAGATACAGAGGGAGAGAAAAAAGAGCGAGACAAATGAGGTTGGATCTAAGTACAACCGAAAGCTAAATGCGACTTTTTTAGGCAACCAAAAATGTTACAATTAACTTTGATCAACTGAAAACACCCTGTGAAAGGGTTAACGTTGCAAGACAAAAACACGGACAACTCCCAGAGCTGTCAATCACAGTAAGCCCGTCAGTCGCCTAAGCTGCAGGAGAGAGACGCATCACTGAGATACGTCACATTGAACCTCTTCACTCTGCTGTCAGGTGAAGGTGTGTTCAATGCCTGCAGGAAGAATCAGGAGCAAGAACTGTCCAGACAAACTCTGCAACTCACCGACATAAAGCAGGGGGTAGAAATGTGCACGCAATTTGGGAATACTGGTGCACACGATAGGAACAGAATGAGAGCAGCTTTAGGGGAAGCTCTGTGTTATTGGCCAGCTTTGAGTCCCTGTTATGTGGAACGACTCTATTTAAAGTAACTGCAAGGAACAGTCTCGATTTAATGCGGATGCCTCTGTATGACCTACATAAGCAAACGAGACCATCAGCAAGAAGATTGGCTATTTCTATGTCGTTTTTGCTGAGCCCCGCTGGAGGGAAGGGAGGCACAGGAGAACCAGGACCAGGACTGAGAGGAGGCAGACTGACCCTGCTGCAGTAAAATGAGAGGTTTTCTAAAGGGAGTCAGGCGCTCGGAAACAACACCGCTTTTGTCCACAGAGGCCGCCAACATCCACACAAAATGAAAGTTCCCCGTAGCAGCTTTAAGATTTAGTCGTATAATCCGTGTTATATGTTCTGTGCCTGTATGGTGCACAGGGTGGGGGCTGCTTGGTATTAAAAGTTTGCTTTTGTACAAATCAATCACAGGCCACATAAGCGTGTTCGCTGTAATTTACAGACCTCCATAACTGGAGTCCTAAACATTCTTCAAAGGTTCCTTCTGCAGCTTTTGAACTATTTATAGGACTTTAAGTGACACGAGTGCATGTTAACAAAGTTATATGAATTTTATAGTCTGAAGCCATATTTTAGTAGTGACCTCGCGGCTTGTTTAGGACGTATTAGAGATTTGGAAACTCTCTGAAGTAAATCAGGTGCAGGTTTCTCTTCCTGGCAACTTGTTGAAGACGTGAGACGACGACAACAAACCCCCCCCCCCCCTCTCTGAGATCTGACTGGAAGCTCACACAGCGATTGTCGTTTGACGGGAAGCTGTGAGAGAACGATGCAGCCTAATTCGCTCTCTTTTCTCCACTCTCAGACTCGTTCTCGTCCTTTTTGTCATTCCTCTGATGCCATCTCTCTCTCTGTCTCTCTCGCTCGCTGTCTCTCTCTCTCGCTCTCTCTCATAAACACACTTGTTTGAGTGCAGCAGAAGGCAATAAAGAGAATGATCACATTCCTTGCGTGACAGCTTGGGATTTTCCAATTTGACACAGACTGGAGGCTCGCACCTGTTCCTGCTCTCTCTCTCTCTCACGCACACACACAGACCGCTAATTCACTTGCTTGCAATTAGGAGACACACACTGAGACAACACCGTGTAACAAGATCTTCCAATGAAATCCTTGTTCCGGGCTGTCAGTGTGACGATACTGTACACACAGCAGAGGAGTTATTAAAGTTATTAAAGAGCCGCCACTGTCGCTCTAAATACATTGTTATGATGATAAATGGAAGCGAGATGCCGTCTCCCATGATGTTATCGAGCCTGGCCATGCGCCAAAATCAACAGCCTGGTTCTTTCAATGTGCTGCGTGGTGCCGGAGCTGTCAGTCACAGCCCAATATTCCTTTATTTGTCTTTTATTGGCAGACGTTTTTGGGGCTTGAGTTATCATGTGGCGCTGAAATGAGCCCGGTGTTTGCCCTTTACTGGAGGCCACTGCAGGGCAGAGGGTTATCAGATGTGGTCTGTTTCAGTGATAAACCCCCCCCCCCCTCCCTCCCCCACCCTGGGTTTGTCTGGGATGAAGGGGGGATAGAGGTTGGGTCGGTGGTTGGATTTAGCATCGGGGCCAAGGTCATGTCTGGGAAAAGAGAGGAATTAGAAAAAACCAGGCAGGATTCCCTGCGAGAGGTTCAGCACAGCTGCCACAAACCGTCGAGCAAAAAAACAAAAGAAAAATTGAAAGAAAGAGAATAGTACAAATGTGTTTTTCATTGTGTTGCTAAAAACAGGCTCAGGGGAATGTGGTGGTGGCTTGTTTGAAAAGCGGCATTAATATGTCAAAAGCTTTGACCTCGAGACCGGCAGAACAATGCAAGTCAACGGAGAGAATACATAGAGAGGTGAGGAGGGGATGGGGTGTAAACGATGGGAAACAGAATCCACTTCCTGTTTTTCTTTCAGTATTGTTTCCTTCCCGATTTGACCCGGACCATGGAAGTTGCAGTACGTGTGAATATGGGAAGCAAAGTGCAGCCACCAGCAGAATGAACATCAACCTGCTTCCAAATTGTGAATTCATCCCGTTCAGTAAAAGCTCTGCAAACTACATTTATAAATGTAACAGATCTGTGGTGTCGATTATATGAACACAACCCGGCAAGTCTGTGGCTCTCGCTGTTCTGTGAAGCACTTTCTTAGCTTTTCACATTCGCCACAGCCCATACCAGGAGATTTCATTACTTTACCACAACCGTACACTCGACAATTAGCGTTTCTCCAGGTGTCTTGAGTTTCTGCACCTGTTTCTCCAAGAGTCTGCCCCGCTGGAGTTCACTTTGAATCTTTACCAAAGGATGCAGTTCTGCCTCTAACCGTTGCGGCTCTGTGATACCTTTATAAACATTAAAGTAATTGAAAGACAACGAAAGTTTAAAAAAAGTCAGTCACTTCTCTCTTTAAATGACCAATCGTGGCACAACTGACCCTTCGCTAAGCCCCGCCCCCTGCCGCTACTCTATCAAGCTGCCATGGAGCCCACACTGTCACCAACCGGACTTTGTGTAGAAATATTTAGTCTTTAGTCTTACCTTGAGCTCCACGATGCTCTTGTTGTCCTTGGAGGTGAGTTTGGGGTCCTGGAAGAGGGGGTCCTCCACGTAGATCAGATCCCACTGATCCGTAGAGTAGCCGTCCAGGACGAACGCCACCTTGGTGAACACGGGCGGCTGCAGAGCCAGTTTGGCCAAAGAGGGCGTGGTGCACTGGATGGACGTCCGGTTCTCACCGTACACACAGCTCTAGAACGAGAGAGAGGCAGGCGGGAACAGAGACAGACAAAAATGTTAGAAGAACTCTACTTATGCAGATGAAATTAAACGTTTATTAAGGGAACACACAAACATTAATATCATTTCAGCTGGATTTGTTTGTATGATTGTCAGCTGGTCTCTTTCCATATCGTTATCTCCGCCAGACGTAAGCCTGCAGGGAAAGCCTCGTACCGAACGGTTTACTATAAATACGTGTTGTTACACCTCTAACGTTCAATGCATACAGAGGTACCGGCACACCTCTACCTCTCAGCTCCCTCCAGGTCTTCCCTCCGTCACTATGTAGAACCACCGTGCGGTACTCCTCAGTTTGGCAGTTTCTTTCATCCTCAACACATCATATGAGACACCACCTGTTTTTAGACTCTACAGTGTTTACACGCATGGCCCGAGGGCACAACAGAGTCTAATCCCGTGTTGGATTCAGCCCACGTAGGCCTCCCAGCTTTTGTGCTCACTAAGAACCCCCAGTGAGAGACAGAAACATCCTAAGTCCTTTTTTATTGAGGTGTGGCGGAGTTTCATCTTGTAGAGGTTTGACTTCTCCTGCTACATGGCAGAGATCTAAACCTTATGTGAATCAACCTGGGTTTGGGTTACTAAAGAGGAACTGGACTTCATGTCCGTGTTAAAAGAATCCTGTCCTGTTTCTGTGGCACAAAGCTCTCACATGAGGGAAATGAAAGTATGGTGGAGGTTAAATATAAGCTTGTGCGCTGAACACCCCGACACCAGCTGGGCACCAACAAGTAGCACAATGTAGAGCTGCTCGAGGGCAAAAGTCACGATTGTTTTGGTAAGTACTGAGATCACGATTATTTAACACGATTACTCAAACAAAAAAAAGGCAGGGTGCGCTGGATTTAATGACAAAATGACAGCATCGATGTGGATCGATAATTGTTTTATCTCGATCAGCTGGTTTTCATAATCGTTGATACTTAAAAATCCAAAAAGCGGATTGAATTAGTTTTTTTTTGATTAATCACCTAGCCCTAGCTATGTGATTTTATTGAAACGTTTAGTCTGTTTATAGTTTATTATGATGGCAAATATGGTTGACTTTGGTGCAGTTGAGCTTTTAAATGACGTGCAGTTTTTCCCTGTTCAACAGTAAACTGACCTGACCTGGAGGGTAGAACCGGTGGACAGCTGGGCAGAAACACTTGAAATCAAGATTAAAGCCTCAAGTACAACGTGGCTCATCTAACTCCGTTCTCTCCTACGTTTCAATAAAGTAAATAAACAGCAAAGCCACTGAGCTGTCCGCCCTTTTACTAACAGATTATGGGAGAGAATTTTGCGGAAGGAACAGCATCCAAAATGGGGGAGTTACTGGGATCTGGATCTGGGGCAACGTTCCCAGAAACAAGAAATCAATAGGCTGACTATAAAAAAGGGAAATAAATGGGTACAGTATTGTGAAAGCTGTGGTTGATATGAGCAATGGGAGCGGTTAAGTGTTTAGAATGATCTGTTATCCTCTTTCTCTGCCTGTCGATATACCGTTTCACTCATGGATCACAGCAGACACCTTCGCTTGTGTCTCATCTTCCATACTTCCTTGATCGAGCTGAGGTTACAAATAAAGGGGGATGCGCTTCATTTATCACAGAGATTGTGGTTTGTTCATTACGCAGAGCAAACATCGATACGCAGCCGTTATAAGAGGTGATATTCCTCCACACAGGTGCCCTCAGAACAAACCGGACTTGTTTGGCTGCTCGCTGAGAGATCGATGCTGATGTTTGCGCTGCGGTGACCAATGATAGCGTGTGTTTATCTTCTGGGCTACAAAGGTACATGTGTCCTTGAGTGCATATGAGGACACGAGGAAGGAAAAATATGTGCTCAATGGTTTATAATGGTTGGTTGAAATACTGTTAATTTCTTGAGATTTAGCACCAACTGCACCGAATCTTATATAAATATATCGTTTGTATATATATATATATATATATATATATATATATATATATGAAAGGGTAGGTGTACAAAGCTAAGGCTTCAGCCGCAACCTTTTCAGTTAGCATAAGCTTCTGTTTGTCACCATGATACAAGAAAGTACTTCGTACCAGCAGCTTTGTGACAACTGCAGCACTTTTTCAATAAAAGTTCAAATAGATTCATGGAGGCAGAGGACCAAGTACCAGGATCATATCGACCAGAGCAACATCTTTCAGTCTGTCTGACGTAAACTGTTGTACAGCATGAAGTCACTGTAACATATTGTACTGAGTGAATCTGAATTCCCTCTGGTTAAGAGTTACGCAGTTTGTTCGTCTAGGGCTTTTATTGTGAAAGGTAAGAATGCAATACGTGGATCTGAGACAGTGTGCGGCATTTGTCAAGGTTGAAAGGAGAAATACAATGTGTCATCTTGATTGGTTGATGCCTTTATTCGCAGTGAGAAAGCTCAGGAAAATCCACTTTGTTACGGAAAGAAATTGCGTTGCTGTTTTTGCAGTGTATTATACATGTTTTTATATTATTCTTATAGGTGTATTTGAGTTCAATAAGTTTAAAACCACCAAAAGAAACAAAACTAAATCTATATTTTCATTTTGTGAAACAAACCATCCTCTGAAGTTTAGACCAGTCAGGAGCCGCTGCCCTCTTGACTACGGTCTACAAAGTTTGTAACACAAAAAAACCCCCAAAAAACTAAAAAACTCAACAGACTGGTTGAAATCATATCTGCCTGCAGTAGCAGCAGCTCTGTCGCTGACACTTCCTCGTACGCTTCCTAATCTGCCTCCCCAGTGAGCTTCAGCGGCCCAGATGGACGCACACGAACACGAACACACACACTCAAAGACATGGAACCGTTTAAAAATACCCACATGCACGTTGAATGTGTCAATGTGAGGGTAGCGCTGGGTCGCCCAACAAAAGCAATCCAATTAACCTCCACACACCAATATGGAGCGAGTAGAGTAGAGCGGGACTGTAGGGTAACCCCCCCCCCAGTCTCCCACGGGTGCAGCGAAAGGAAAAATATCCTGTGAATTAGTGGAAAAATCAGTCAGTTTCATTGTTCAGCGGACGTCTCCTCTTATTTAAGGCCGAGGAGGTGAAGGGCTGTAGGTCGGCAGCAGCTGTAAATACAATCGCTCAGAGAGCCGGGGGCCGAGAGGTTTTCACTGTGGGGTGATGAGAGAACCAGCGATCCCGAAAAAAAGAAAACCTCCGCCGTCCCTGAAGGATCATTAGTGTAACAGCCTGTGAAAAAGGCCAAGTCATAACGGAGCTCCCACGTACAGAAGTGCCTGTCAAATCTAGAGTGATTAATCCCAGCAGCGTTTCCTACCACGCTGTGTGGTGTTATTGTTTTCTTTGGCTTTAAGGCCTCCAGGTCAGCTGCGTCTTTGCTTATTATCTAGATTTCGAGGATTACTTTCTTCTTCTTTTGCAACCGCATGTAATGTGTTTTGCATCCTCTCCTCTTTTTTTTCCAGGACTCTACGCTATCTCCGTTCAACTCTTTTGTTTTACCATTGTGCAAAAGACCAGCACTAAACTGCAATCATTACTCATTTAATGATGCTCTCTGAGTTACAGATTGACATCTCTTAATTCAAAAGCTCCCAGATGTAATCCATTTGGCCTTTTTTAAACTCCCATTGAAGTAAGTTGGACTGACAGCACATAGATGCTATGCAATGGCTTCTTTTTCCAAAACTTTTATAGAATATTGTCCCATCAGCAGCTCTCTTGATCTCTTGATGTCGCAGTCGACATTAAGGGTTCTCTATACGAGAGCGGTTCGCCGTCGGATGGCGTTGTCAGCCTAACATCCACCATCCGGCTCCCCCACAGTTCAAGCTGGCCTCATCCACTCGTTCTCAACTAAACCTACGGACAGAAAAGTGCCGTAATTCAACAAAAGCCCTCAAACCACAATCTTTTCCTAAACCTTACAGAGTAGTTTTGTTGCCTAAAGTAAGTAGTTTCCTGTGAAGGCGGAAGTTTATTTTGAAAAGACTGTATGAATGTAATGAGTGGAAATTGACACGCGTTGGTCTTTTGTAGGAAAACTCACAAAAATGTACTTTTCGTGAGATATCATACAAACCGTTACATGCTCAGGTTAACACTGTTAGCTCTGTCAGCACTGTTAGCTTCTAGCCGCCGCCATGTTGAGAGCCGTGTGGAGGCAACAGATATGCTGTAAACGTTACTCGTTCACTTTCATTCTCTTCCTCCTCTCAGAAACCCTCCCGTTGTGGGAAAGGGAAGAGGCTTCGTGAGGCGTTCAGGTGTCAGCTGGAGGGTTTGAGCTCGCTGGGGTGAGATAGGAAGACGACTCGGACGCGAAACAAGCCGATTCGTGAATACAGGTGACAGGTGTCTGGATACGGTGAAGCCAAACCAAACCATACATGATGGTTGCAAAGCAAGAACTGCACTCCATCTGTTTTGCGAGTGATCTGTGAATGTTCACTGTTTTTTCATGTATGTGCAGCCCCCCCCCCCTTTAGCTTTGTGACCATGCCAACTTTTCACGACGGATCGTAAAAGAAACCACCTCTTTCATGTGTGTGGGAAAGCTGAGATTGGCTGAGACCAGGCTTTACTGGAGATCTGAGACGCAGATATCAAGTCAACTCTGGGTGGTTGTTGGTTTTTTTTCATGCTCCAACTCCCGACTGAGACCCCTGAACGTCTTGGTTTTCTTCCTCTCTCCGATCTTCGGTGTGCAGATCTTGTAAATTCCCGTCCAACTGGAGAACAGATTTCACCAACTGCACCGAACATTGTATTTTTTAAGGGTTCATGAACGCAGCTCCGTGGGTACGAGACGCTGGCTCACATTACCCACGGTGCCGATGGAAAACCTCTGGGACGGTCGGTTTGTGAGAGACCCGTCCCTCTATTTTGAGGGGTTAAGACAATAAGACACTCATACTGTCCCTTCCCAAGGCTGAGCCTCAACTCATCCCATTTACTGGAAGGAATTTAACAGGCGACAGCTGGGCCCCGACGGGGCATGATCCCATCCTAAATCATTAGCAATGATAGCCTTATTTTACACTGCTGGCTTCATGCTCTCTCTTTAGGGAGCTAGAGGTTTGTGTTTGTTGTTTCTCTCTGTTCTGTTATTCCAGTTGAAACAACAATACAATATTGGAGAGAGGGTCAGCTTCGATGCGACACCTTTCAGTCACGCGAGAGTCGTTTATTCGTCACATCTTAACGGAGAGGTGTAAAAGAGTGTGTTGTGAAACCTGGAAGTGAAGTGAAGTGACTGTTGGTGTAAACCGTGCTGCAGCACCAGGTGACACATAAAGACCAGACCAGAGTGACCCCACTCCTCTAAGATTACAGGTGAAATTACACCCAGTGAACTCAAGCACAACCCAGAAAAAACGGAAAACACATGTTTGGTCTTTTTTTTTATTTGACAAAATAATTTGTTATTATTTCTTTTAAAGCCTATCCTAAAAAAAAGTGTTTTGTTTAATGAAATGATACCTTAGTGATTGATGAGTGCGGTTCCGGTCCGTTAACTGGTGATCTAACTCAGTGAGCAAAGTATGTTAACAGGCAGGTAACCAGATGATCGCGCTCACTGACCTAACTTATTTGCATGAAAATAAGATGACAGAGCATCTCATAGGAGCTAATTAAAACTGTACCGAAACTTTTTACCCCAAATGTAATTAAGAAAGAAGTGATTCCACGTTTTACGTCATAATCCTGGTAATGTACACATCTTTGCATCACAATAAGAATTGAAATGACTTCCGTGCATTTTTGTTTTGCCTGCAAACTCTACATTATATTACTCTATACTACTTTGGACTGCAACTGCAACGCTCAGTTATGTTTTCCATAGGCTGCCGCTGCAGGGTGAGCGCAAAAGTGAAGCTAAAACATCTGGGCCTGCTGGCTGGCTGTTAGTTTAAGGAAGCGCTTGATTTGATATGCAGCGCTGTTTTGTGCGAGCGGAGCATTTTAAACGTCAATATCACAGTCGATAGTGTTCATCTAATTGTGGAAAGCTGAAATCCTCATTACTATTTGAATAATTGTGCAGCCCTAACACAGCCTGACCTTTGGCCCGTGTAAAGACATACAGTATATAAATATAGATTGTTTTTGTATGTCAGGGTTGTATGTGATCACTAACAGGATATTTAATGTAATGCAAACAGATATTTACAGCCTTAAAATGTCCAGTTTGCCTTTTTTTTTAAGCTTTCAACCATTTTTAATTCACCCAGAGAGAGTTGACCAAGGAAGCGTCCACGCGCAGCAGCAAACCATTGACCCTCAGAGGCAGACGCGAGTCCAGATGGGTGTCGGGTGAATCAGGGATTTTGCGAAGCGGCACATTTTTGGATCATAAACCTGATTTCAGAGACCCGAGCTCTCCAGAGACCCATCAACCGCTGACCTGAACACAGGTCAATGACCAGGGGAAGGGAAACTGAAAGACGAGACACTGCAGGGAGTGTGTGTGTGTGCGTGTGTGTGTGAGAGAGAGAGACAAACAAGGGGGAGAAAGACGGATTGGATTAAGCGATGCAGTGAAGTTTAGAGATGGAAGTCATACGTGCTCTGTATCAGCGTGTGTGTGTACATATGTACTGAGCGTGTTATGATGTCCTGACTGAACCTGCAGCAGCGAGTGACTCAGGATGACAGATAACATCACCACAAAGCACAGCTTGTCCTCAAACTCCCTCCCAAAGCCAAACATTGAGAACAACACACCTTCGCTCTGTGTGTTGTGACTCACGAAGAGAAGTGACACCTTCGCGCTGAAAGAATAGATCCTTTTAATGAAATGCACGCTGTTAAAAAAAGTCCTCAATTGGTGCAAAGACATCTGAAGGTTTCACTTCTGCTGATGTAAAGCAGGACTTGATAAGAGGTGAAATTACTTTGATTTACTTGGAGAGTTTCGTGCAGTTCAATTGATAAAAAAGTTTCCTCCGTTTTCTCTCAAAGGATACTGCATCACTTCAGCAGCAACTGCAATGAAACTGAGGCTGTGAGTCGGTTGTCTGAGCGAGCTGTGAGAGTGGACGAGGAGGTCAGTGAGGTCACACAGAGGGGAGCCACGGTGGTAGTTTCTGTGTCCGACTCTTTTATGGCTGAATGTTGTCTCTGTGTTATAAAGTGAAGGTCCAAGTCCTCTCATGTCGTTAATGATGTTCCAAGCAGTGTTCATTTTGTCAACAAAAGCTAAACGTCAATCACCTTTTTTTCCATGAAGATCAATTCGCCCCTTGATATATTTCTTTCTGTAGTTTTTGTCACGAGTACTTTAACAGAGAACGCCAATATTACGTGGATAAAAGGTGATGTAAATTCATTTTATTTAACGAATATCGGCATCAACCAATCACGTTGTTCACACTATAGTGGACATATTCAAAACGTACACTATAGTGTACAAAGACATGGAGTCTTCGTAGTCCGGACCAAGATTGCCATCTTTATTACTTATGACACTTAACCCCCTAAATTACGCCTACGGTGCTTAATGACTGTAATGTAATGTATTACTCCTTTAATTAAACCTTTACAGCGCAGATCTCCTTCTGTTCTTACTTTCACAATAAAAGCCGTAGACATGCAGACAGAGTAACTGTTTACCAGAGGGAACTCAAATTCACTTCAAGCATTTCACTCAAAGGAAACTCAATAAAAGATCTTACAGTAGCTTAGTCTGTACCACAGATTCCCTCTGACAGGCTGATCTGGGTCTACAGGGTCCTGGTAGTTGGTCCTCTGACTGCATGAATCTATTTGAACCTTTCATTGAAAAAAAAGAAATCGCTGCCAGTAAGAATAGTTTTGATGCAAAATATTGGCAGGCGAGTATTTCACATTTTCGTGTTGTTTATTGGTTCATTGGTATATTTATTATGAAAGATGTCCTTTCCTCTGACCATATGATCCTATATTACAACATATAGAATGGCTGCGATCAGCCTGATGAAACCTTTAAAACCTGCATTACTAAAACCAAGCACTTTGACTTATGACCTGGATGACAGTTTACACATTTAACGTCACTCTAAAGGCCCTTATAACTAAACTACATCAATTCCAGGACATGTTTGATGGCCTGCAGACAGCGCGGTGAAAGTGTCAGGGTCGGGTAATTTAAAACACCTCCGGGCCGCCGCTAGTCTGAGGGAGCGATGACGTGCCTCCAGCATGCAGTATCGTTTCCCACCAATAAGTAGAATAAGGTCTGAGGGGAGGCTGAGGAGAGCCAGAGCGTCCTGGAGGCCTCGCTCTGCTACTGTGCGTCACATGTGACAGCTGGATCCCGCAGATCAGACTGTGGATTTTCCATTTCCTTTCTTCTCCAGTTTGTCTGATACTTTAGCTCTTTTCCGTTGTCTAGAACTCTTTTTCTCTGTTTCTTCTGGATGTTTTTTTTGGGGGGGGGCTTTAGCTTGTATAATGACAATACCATGCATGTGACAGCGAGGTATTTGCCTGCTGTTCAACATGTGATATTCCTGATGGGTTCTTTTTTTAAAACCATATAAGGAGACGCAGGAACTAAAGCCGTGTTTCCTTTAGAAGAAGTTTCTGGTAATTTGAGTTATTTTCAAGGAGCTAAAAGGTTCCTTCAGCCCGTCGTAGTCCACCTTTCCATAGCGGTCTAAAGACCTGCTAAGATTAGGCAAATTAGTACACTGACGTATGGAAAGGCAGCTTTGATACGAGACGAGTTCAGTTCAGTGTGTCCGCCCGTTTCATCTGAAAAAACTCTTGGGTTTGTCTCACTGAGAAGACATTTACTGCTACACAGTATTTACTGATGCACAATGTAATGAATGAATTTCAGAGGAGGAAAATGTTATTATTTGAATGCAAGACGATGCAATTGGTTTGTGTGCAATTTTCTTGGGCCAACTACTTTTATTTCCGTTGTAAAAAAGGCAAATTTGTCAGCGATGCAACCCCAAATATCATGAAAATCCCTCCGTGCGTTCCTGCGATATTGCGTCCATGAGAATGGACCGGACAGACGGACGGACAACCCAAAAGCAAAATGCCTCCGGCAACGGCTCTTCTTCCGCTCGCCTTCTCAGCTTGCTCTCTGTCTTTTTTTTTTTTTTTTGGAGCCGGGAAGCCAACAGCAGAGAATAACTTTATTTTTACCGTCATGAAACAAAGACAAACGCCCTAAAGCAATACTGGAGTACTTCCTTGTTTTATGAACGCAGCGCCGCGGTGTGTGTTGGACCAATCAGTGATGTTCGTCACAGCAAACACCGCCCTCAGAGTGCCCGTACTTTTAGAAAGTACTACACCCCCGACCAGGAACCTTTTTAAAATGTCTACAGAACTTAATTCAGATCCTGGTTCCTGGGGAAAGTTCCTGCATTTCCACTTCATCTCAAGGAATGCTAAATTAATTGTTTTTTATTGATGATGTCAATGTGACGTTTAAACAGGTGTTGGAAAGTTGATGTGCAGAGATGCAAAAGAGAGATTGACCCGCCAGCAGGAAACGACGTCTGTCTCCAAAGTAGCAATGACTTCCTGAGTGTTTTAAAGTTCCTTTTCCCAAACAATTCATAAATGAAATTTAAGGTCTACACTTGTAGACGGGTCTTTCTTTGCTTCACCAAAGCTTAACCTCAACTCAGCTTGTGCAAAACTTTGTAATCCAAATGACGGATACCTCATATTTTCGGGAAGTGACACCCTTCTCGTACTCACCACATGGAAGACCACGGCATCCTGACCCGTGGTGAGGACCATCTGGGGCTGGAGGCCGGACCGGAGGAAGAAGCCGTGAGCCGACACCGTGCATCCTCCGCTACATTGAAGGGGAGGGGGGAGCGGATATTAGCGTTAGCATCAGACAGAGACACAGTAGATCCCCACTGGGAGGGACCCTGCTGTTAGCGTTAGCAGTTTAGCCACTCGTCACCTCCTACTCGTTTCCTCCTGCTGTCAAGCTAAAGCATGAATCTGTCCCCCTCAGTCACACTCGCTCTCTCAGGTCTTTATGTGAAATAACAGATGAGGGATTTTCCTTCACCGCGTTTTTCACATCCCACTGGTGAGAAACGGCTTTAAGACTGAACCCCCCCCTATTCTGAATGAACATAACTAACCTGATGAAGGAGCGTGAGGGCTGGATGCTGTTGATGATGGGGTCTTGGTTGAAGGTGAACGGCACGGGCGCGAGACACTCCACCGAATCCACCGTCAGCTTCACGGGTTGCATGGAGGGAACGGCGTGCGGAGGGGTCTTGCAGGTCAGCATGTTGGACGACAGGCTGAGGTCGGGGTGGTAGGGGGGGGAATGAGTTAACACACTGGATATGTTGTTGTGTTAGCATGTACAGTGGTAGCCATTGTCCTCCATTCATGCATCGCATTAGTCCTGCAGATAATTCCCGATTGAGCGGGAGATGAGACAGAATGAGGAAAACAGCGAGAAACAAAGACCTTTGACCGACTTTAACCTCCAGCTCACAGGAAAGAAGAGTTCTCAGTAAAATGACAGTGATGTCGAGACACGTTTGAGTACGTTTAACAAACACAATCCCTCTGCAGAACATATGTACTCTACTGTCAAAGTGAGACTTCAAAAATAGGACGGATTTGGAAAACCAAAGCGTGGTTCAGGGTCCTTTTTTAGACTTTGCTTCCTGTATTCTGGTGACTTGTAAAGAATTGGAAGTACTGCAGATTATGTTAAATACTTTTAACTTCAATACTTTTAATTCTCAAAGAATACAGAATGAATTGGCCCTCTGGTGCAAACTTGCGTGAATCTCTGGAATAAACTAATATCCATCAGTTTTTAATTCATTTGTTCATTTTTTACCTCCCTCTCCATTTCTCTCTCAGTCTTTCACTCACTGAAGGCTCTTTCAAAAACAACGGCACCACTGCGATCTTTAACCCATTATTTCAAATAGCTTGCGCAATGCCGCGGCGGCTTTTTGCTGCGTCAGCGTCAGTCCAACTTTGACTTGAATTCAGTGCATTTTGCCCATAAATAATATATAAACAGCCGCTGGAGGTTGCGTGCACAGCGGCAGTGACAGCTCCCCAAAAAGTGAAGCCAAAACATCTGGATCACCCCCCTGGTGGCATATTTAAACGTCAACATCTCAGTAGATCCTGTTCATTTAAATACGCCAACATCGTGATCGCGATTTATATTTGATTAATTGTGACCGTACAACCTCTACAATTCATTTCTAGGAAATAAAGAAAAAGGTAGAGAAAGTATCACAGCCACTTGATGTATTTTATTTTTGAAGAGCTGTTTTCTGTTATGCGGGAAAAGAAAGGACAAAAGGAAAGCTGTGAACTGACCTCTGGATCTTGCAGGCTGCTTTCCCTATCGTCACCTCTCGCTTGTTCCCGGTGTCCAGGAAGGCTCCCCTGATGGTCAGCATGGTGTTCCCGGACTTCGGCCCGAATGTCGGGAATATTTCGTGGATCACGGGGTCCTGGACGCAGAGGCACTTTCAACAACTCTGACTGATGCATAACGCTTTGCATACATATGTGAAATTTCTCTATGTCGAACTCAAACGCCACGTATTCTGCACAGAGCAGAACCAAAGACGGCGTTTCTTACCACGAAGGTGAAGCCCTCCATCGTGGCGACCTTGTGTCCACTCGTGATCTTCACCGTGTGTCCTGACGGGGTGAAGTTCCCACTGAACATGGGGGAACACTGCATCACAGTCCACCTAAACACAAACACCCCCGCACACCAGACAGCACACAGACCACACATTATACTCTACCGCAGCCACCGAGCATTTATCCTAATTCAATGATGATCCACCGCACAAAGGGGCAATCGTTTCTCTTTCCTCCCAATTTGTAATGAGGTTGTTTGTAGCAAAAGGGGCTTTTGAATTGGGCCCCAGTGGATTTGGGAGAGTGGAAAGTCTGGATGCAGAGATTTTTCCCAGCAATTTCTCAGTTAGGGAAGTCATGTGTGGAGAAAGAGAGACAGGGAAAGTGAGGGGGGGGGTTAACATTCTTCCTTCAACACAATACCCCCTTATTAAACTCCTGCTCTCCCCTATAAGACGCCAGTGTACGGGTCCCTTCATCTCGTAAACACCCGCTCTGTCTCTCTTTTCAGACGGCATGGGGCTCATTTTCTAACTGTCTAACGGACGTGCAAAAACTCACAGGCATGTATTATTTGCAAGACATGGAGGAAAACCCCCAAAACACACACACACACACACACCTGTTGATGTCCTGTCGGGTCAGTCTGCAGGGAGCTCCCGCCACCTCTACCGTTACCTCAGAGGCCTTAAAGTTCTCCGTCTTGTCGAAGCCGAAGTTGCTGCCGCACATCGTCACGACCGTAGAGCCTCGTATCGGTCCAGAGGTCGGGAACACCTGACGCACAACAAAACATTTTAAACATTTACTCCTCAGTCTGAGATCGTGATAATACAATGCTCCTCAGCACCGCTGCTCTCCATCTACTTTCGCAAGAAATGAGTTGCTTCCTGTTTCAAAGAGGACGTTCCCCGCTTGCCTCTCCCTGGTATTGTCCCAGGTAGATTTGTAGATAAGATAATCCTTTATTAGTCCCGCAGTGGGGGAATGTACAGTTTATCTTATCTAGTAGGTAACTGTTGTATAAGAAACATCCACGCAAACTTTCTGCAGATGTTTTTTTTAAATTCCTCTTGCTAAAATATTCCAGAGGAAGAGGTGTTTTTTCTCGTCCTATTAACCCATTTTGTTGAATTTAGTTCAGCGGAGATAGCCTGGTGTTTTTTCTCTCTCTATATATATATACATATATATTGTATATATATATGGAGACAGCATGGGGTACAACATTAAAGTGAGAAAGAATGCTCAGTAACGTCTCACTCAGAACCCAGTGGTAAAGAGGACAGTGCTGCTGTTCACCACACACCATTGAGACAGTATACAGTGCAAACATACAGACGGCGGGTTCAATGGACGGCAGGTTATATGAGCTGTTTTTGGAAGGAGAGGAGTGAGAGAGCGAGAGTGTCTGTATGAGAATACAGAAAGAACCGAATGTAAAACCATCCTTAGCGATACCAGACGAGATGAGAGCCACGACTCCCCGCGTTACGTAAGAAACATACTTATTTTAACCAGGACAGTGATCTACTAAACCTGACCAAGGAGTTCTGTTGCTCAAACCTCAGTGCTGCCAAGGGATCCGAATCCTAAACTGTATATAAGAAGTGGACGCTGTCTTCGTGACGTCACTCATCGGTTTGCGAACTGAGGTTTTGAAGCCTCGAATTCTGCATTTCGGTCGTCGCCATCTTGTTGTTTTTGCAACCAGTGAACGTAACCGACCATATTTGGAAGGAGGAGTGACGTAGAGACGCTGTATATGGCTCCGGCAGAGACCTGTCAATCACTGTGTAGCCCCGCCCCTAAAGCATCCCCTGCTTTATGGTCTGTTTGACTCTAAATGGACCATAATGTACTAGATGAACATCATGCTGTATTGAAGAAGACTTGAAACTAGAGATTGAGACCATAAACTCATGTTTACAATGTTTACTGAGGTAATAAATCAAGAGAGAAGTAGAGTCATTTTCTCATAGAAGCAGAGAGCAGCAATGGTCGAGCAAGGTGGAGAATGAATGAAGCGACAGAGCCGTGAAACAGAGAAATAATAATATTATTTTTCTGATCGTTTCACATCTCTGGAAACTGACACAGTAGCTGTGTTTCCATTCAACTGTGAAGCGAATTTTAAGCAAACTTTTGGATTGTTACAAAAAAAAAAAAAGGAATGCCAATTAGGCGCGTTTCTATCAGCCGGTTTAGAGCAAATAAACTCTGCTACAGCGCAGTTTTGTCTTAAGTTTGTGCTGGAGGCTACGTGTGAGAACCGGAAACAAAACAAGTCATCTCATCTAACGATCTGCTGTCCATGTGTCATGTCGTCTGGAGACAAAGACAAGCATTCACACGTTGTGTGAAGAAGACGCCAAGGGCAGAAACAGCTGATTTATTCTCGCAAGTTCAATGTTTCGCAACGTCACAATATGTTCAGCAAAGGCCGAAGTTTTATAGAATTTAGCTTCCACGCTGCTTTTCTAATGCACATGAAAATATGTGAATTCAAAATGATAGACTTTCCTTCATGGATCTCCGAATGGAGGACTTAAGCCGAGCCTTATATGGTATCATTGGGCCGTTGATTATGCTAATTTACAATTCTTATGAGATTGCGTTCATTCATGCACAGGTAGCATTTATCATGTTGATGCTGGTTATTCAAATGAAAAAATGTTTTTGCACGAGGTCGACGGCGACAGGTGAGGTCGGTGCGGTTACCTTAGTGATGACAGGTGTGCAGTACTCCTGGGTCCAGAGGGAGGGGGGCGGGCACTGGTCGGCTCGGCTGCAGCGTCCGTCACACCAGCCGCATTCGGTCACCCACGATGACAGCAAACAGGAAGTACAGGTGGTCAGCTGACCACAGCCGGGGCCAATCAGAGGGATCTTAGTGATCTACAGGGAGAGGAAGACGTGAGAAAGTCTGTGTGTGTGTCGGACGGAAATGAAGAAACACAACAGAAGTGTTTCCCCTCAGAGAGAAGTGTTTGGGTTAAGCCTCCAGGAGCATTATTCTCTTTTATCTGGTGGCTCTGATCCGCCTTCACTACTTTCGTAATCATCTCACTAATGCAAGACATCTGTACGGCTTATGTTTCCTGTTGTGGTTCAGAGACGAACACAGGACAGACTTAAACTACTGAATCTGTAGAATAGCGACATGTTCTCTGCGTGTCGTGACGCTCCAGATTTTGCTGAGGAAAGAACCAAAAAAGGTCTATAATCTCTGTGGTTCCCGGCCCACCTTGTTCCCTGTCGCCATCAGCATGGCTCCGTCCGAGCCGTCGGCGTCCAGCAGCGCTACGCCGGTGGAGACGGGTCTCGAGTCCAGCCGGAAGTTGACATGTGGGGAGGCAAATCGGGAGAACAGCACCTGAAAGAAGAAGGAGGGGCATCATTTAATGTGACTCTGGGACAGCCTTAAAGTATCACGAGCTCACAAACGCATTACTTGAAGGCTAACAAGATGGATTCTCGTGTGATATCACGCTGCCATGCGAGGTAATATTCAAAATGCTTCAAGAAGATTACTTCTTTCGAAGACATTTAACTTGCAAATAGACAAACTATTGTTTCGCTATAGATAGTGAGCTTTAAACCAGACATTGTTTAACTAAAGTATCGAGTTATTGCCGCTAAGCTACAACCTTAGATCTCTTATGAGAAATTTCAATGATCAAGTCTCCAAAACGTGTAAGAAATACAGTAACCTGTATTAATGCATTCAAATGTAATCTGTTCTGAATGAGTAAATGACACAGAAATACACCTTAAACTATCTATTTGCTTCTTTTGCATTTAATAATAACAAATAATCACGCAGGTCAGCTGAGGACACCTGGTTAAGAGGCGGGATTTTGTTCCACTTGTTTCCCCATCGTCGCTGTGTTCGTACACCGGCACGCACCGTGAATTTAAAAAGAAGGAAACATTACACGGAGTCTGAAATATACAACAATAGATCCACAGCATCGCCTGAGGGAAAACCACGCCTCCAGGAGGAAAAACTGGAACACCTTATTTTTTTGATGCGGCGCCAGCACACCTCGACCGGGGGAGTTTGGTTGAAGGAATAGGATCCAGGATTGTGTCATCTTCTCTTCTTTCACTGGAGTTAAAATGTTTGCTCTTAGCCCAGAGTCACGTCTAGAAAACAAATGTTTCGACAGACCTTTCTCGATTTAGACGTATCAACCGGTACAGCAGGAAGGGAACAGGTGTAACTAACACTAGTGATCTGTTTTCATCAAGACCTTCCTGGTAATATTATACCCGGGACTACTTTTCAAGGATCTCGAAGTTTCTTTCGGCTCGCGAAGATTCGCCAAATGAGTCCGCTGACATATGAAAAATATGTGTTTTATGAAAATGCTCGCAGCGATGTCTGTGAGTTATCTTGAGTTGCTGGGTCATGATTTCTGGAAATCTTTATATTGAAGAGGAGGCCGACATCTCCACCGCCGATATCTCCAAAACTCTAGAAAATCTAGATTGATAAACAGCACTACAGGTACGAGGACAAATGTGTATTTTAGATTTTTGGGGTGAACTGTCCCTTTAAAGTAATAAAACATACAACGGCAACTTGGTAAAAAATCATTATATTATTTAAGTGCAAACCTTTTTAATGCAGCAACAAATTGGTCCATTATAAAATGTATGTAAACATAGAATATAATTGAATAAATAGGTCCGTTGTCACCGATCCCTACCGAAAAGTGCTTTTAAAATAATAGTAAAGTATATGTTATGTATCATATACGTATGTGGGTACAAGAAATACCTTTTCAAAATGACGAGCCTCGCTTCACAAACACTGGAGTCAGAGACACTTACAATCCTTTCAGTCAATTTGCATTTGACAGATAAGAAACTGGTCCCGGCTGCAGCTTTAAAAACTGCCTTCAGACACAAAACATTGATGTCTTCAATTCATTGCAATTCATTTGAAATACACACACTGTCTTAAGAGAGACTTTTAACCCGTTTACTTCTCCCACGGTTAAGAGAGAGAGATGAGAGACTGGTCTGGGTGGAAACATTGTGTCCTCTGACACGTTGGTCGGTGTTTCAGACACACACACACACACACGCGCAGTCAACACACACCTGGAACAGCATTTATCATTTGCGGTTATGCTGCAATTACAAGCCTGGGAGCAAACAGAACAGAACAGGGTCTCTAATGGGGCGTGTGGTTGCTCCAGTTACACTGAGCCCTCCAAATTATACAGTTCCCCCTGTCTCACACACACACACACACCCCCACACGCACACGCACACACACCTCTGTATTGTGAACTTTAAATGTGATTTCTGTCGGTTGGCAGATTTTTTCCCTCCCACTGTTTGAGCCGTCATGATCAACGTTGGCTTTGTAACAGCGAGCATAATGGGTGGCTTTCCGCTGGGGACGAGGCCATACAACAGGCATCTCTCTGGAGGTAATAGCGGTGTAAATTACAGCTTATTGTATTAAGCAGGCTGGGGGGGGGAGTTTGGCCTCCAAACACGGCCACTGTGTTATTCCCACAGTGGCCCAAACTGAAGCCGAGGGAAACACTTCCTGAGCCAGAAAACTATTTTCTTTCACTGCCTCGACTCCACGTTCCCGCATGTCTCGTCCCGCTGGGAGCGGCCAGGAAACCGAAGTACACGAAAAGTTGACAGGTTCCTTTTTTTTTCTTTCTTTCTTGCACTAACAATGAAACGAGCTGCCGAGGAAGGCAAAGACGAACACCTCTCACGGATTCTTATTGTGGCTTATCTTTGGGAGAGGGCAGGTGGCCGGAGGGTCGCCAGTTCAGGCGCACGGCTTGGAAAAATCAGAGCAAATTGAATGAAAGTGAATGAAACTGCAAACCAATGAGCAAAGTGCTCGATGGGTTATTCCAGTTAATTACAACTTGGCTCTTTTGGAGTCATTTATATCCGTTATAATCAAATTCTACCCAACAAAGTAAGTGCTGCGATGTGGGAACAAGGTGGCCTGAAGTATAGGGCAAAAAAAACAACCAGTTCAGTCAGAATATCTAAACCATTCAGCCCGTTTTCATTCACTGTTCTTACGTACGTACGAAAAGTAATGTTAAAGTCAAATTCGTCTTTAAGAGCAACAAGGGGCTTAGTGTAGATAAGTGTGTCCAAAAACACAGGACTTTCACCCAGGAGACCGCCGTTCGCGTCCCTCGTGAAAATCAACGTTAACTTGGTTGTCTCATAACTTCCGTACTTAAGTAACGGCACTTCCGTTCTTTCTTTTGCTTTCTTGGTTTGGGTTTCTTGGAAAGCATCTTTCCTGCTTTGTCTCCTTCTCCCCCATTTCTTCCTCTGGCTCCTCCCTCTTTCTTTGCTCTCTCTCTCTCTCCCTTTTCTATCTATTAACTCAACTCAAACCTAATCAATTTAATTTGTATTCATTTTACCTGCACGATCAGACAGAACCCTGTATCGCTAAATCATCAGTACTGCTGCAGTCCTGATAACGTTTACTATGACTGTACAATATCAGCGTTATGGTTTTATCAAATCTTTGCGTCTGGTGCTTCTCTGTCAGACGATCGGCAGAACATATTTGATAAAATGCAGAGTTTTGCAGTGCAGGACAGCTGCTAAAACAATGAGCCTCGGCCAATTCAGCCGACTATAAAAAAGAAAGACACAACCAAAAGAGAAAAAACTGAAGAAGCCTGAGTGGTGAGGGGTGTGTGTGTGTGTGTGTGTGTGTGTGTGTGTGGGAGGGGGGGGTTGAACACACGGCAACAGCTGCACTGGATGCTCGGTCGAGTAGAAAATGTCGTGCGAGTGAACGTGTCAGCGGAGCCCGCCGTTCACCATTAACGTGCCGTTCGGCTTGTAAGCCCCCCCCCCCCCCACCATGCAGCTGTTGGCCCTTTATTTTTTTGTTCCACGTCTCTGTCGCCTTTTTTTGTTTTTTTCCATGCGTGTCTTTTTCATTCTTGTGTTTCAAAAACACGTGAGGTAATTCAGCTTTCGCTTTACGTGTTTTGTTCCATTTCGTTGTCGTGGTTTTGTTCGGGGCCCCTCGCCGGACCGTTGCACCGACACGCCGTCTCTCGCTGCACTATACTCTGCAGCTGTAACCATCGCAGGAGTGTACAGTAAATACTAAAGAACAGCACATGAAGAGGCAGAGAAAGTGAGTCACTGGTTGACGTGCAGCCTCGTCATATTGGTTTAATTAAGCTGGATGCCAACATGCTATAATTCACCTGATGATCAGCACAACATCAATGCAACTAACGGACCTCCGACAGGCTGAAGCCCTCATTTGAACTGCAGGTGCACTGGCACCAAAAAGCTCCACATGTACTTCATGTGCCGGGCCTGAGTCTGGAACGTCATGAACACACTGATGGGGGGATTGTCTTGGTTGAAGTAGAAGGTTCTGTTTTAGACAACTAAGTAAAGTATTTAAATGACAAATATATTTGAAAGATAATTGAATGTAAATAGTCTAAGAAACCTTTATCAATAGAATTTAGCCTAATTTTAACATCTTTTGACCTACAAGTTACAAAATGATATTATATTGATTCAACTCTATTTCATTTTGGTTTTGGTTTTAACTTTACTAAACAAAGATTAGTTTTTAATTTTGCAACAGAGCTGTGTTTAATTTTAAATGTTGTTTTGCCAAACACTGATTACGACTAATCCTAAGATTACATGAATCCTTGTTGGAGCAACCCAGCCATGAGCCGTATCGACAGGTCACGTATGAGACGTTGAAAGCAGCTGACAAACGATCAGGAGCTTGTAATCCACTGTTGGTTTGTACAACGATAGGCCGACTGGACTGTTTGCTCAGATGGCAGACTGGAACGTGGGCCTTTTGGAGGCTCGATGAGCACAGGTCAAAGGTAAGCAAGTTGTGCAAACAGAAAGATCCTGGTGCTCGGTCACAGACTCCCACAAGCTGCCTGCTAGCGGAGGGCACCTGGAGCTGACATGTGTGTGTCGAGTCTCCAGCAGGAGCGCTTTCACTGCTCACATACCAACATCCTGCCGAATTTACATGGACAATGAGCGAGGGGGCCTCGGGCTCTCTGTTTACGCCTAACTGCTAGTATCTCCCATGTAAATTTTGGTTCCTGCATGGACAGATTAACATGAACGCGGGCCCGGGACGCAAACTCGCCACGGGCCCCTAACCTAAACATGTAAATAGCTACAATTACGGCCTCCACAAGCAGCTAGAGTTTGGTTGCACGATAGCAAAAGGCAACCAGCAACCACATGTATTTTACTTCTTTGGATACTCTCTTAAATTATATTTGTTCTTTGGACGTATTGACTTACTGCCATTTTGCACATGTTTCATTCTAAACATGCCAAATACAGCACAGTATACAACCCACGGATTTAGGAGAGGAAATGCACACCTGAATTAAATAAAAACCACCAACAACCAACTGGGAAAGAATATATAAATGAACATCACATGAAGTACAGAGCCACAGCTACGACCACGTAAAACCACAGTAATAAATATCCTCCTATCTACCCTTTAAAGACATTTACTGTGAAGAAAAAGTGACTTCTTTACCTGTATGTGGCGTCCGTCGGCGGTGCCCAGGTATGCCACTGCACGGCCATGCACTGGCACCACGGTGATCGATGTTACCAAGGTGTTGGTCAACTCTTTGTGCCAGTACTCGAGTCTCTGGACGAACTGGGTCACCTGCAGGCGGTACTCGCCCTCTTTCCCCTCGTGGATTCCCTCGTGTGGGCCGCAGTCGTCCGATGAACTCTGCAAAGAGAAAAAAAAGGCACTCGGTTAGAAAGAAGAAATCCCCATGGAGTGCACCAAGAAAAACAGAATCTACAGTAAGAACAGTGGAGAGAGCTTCTTATTGTGGTTGCGGGCGTGATATCGATATCATTCAAGGCGCAGCCAAGAAATGTCAGCAACGTCATGTTCAACATTGAAGAACATCCACTTTAATGTAGTGAAATTTATTTTTACTGGGGTTCGCCAGCTAGATTCAGATCTCCTTATCCAAACACTTTGCTCTCCTCGTTATATAATATCATGTTGGGCTATCTTCTTTCATATCTGGCCCCAGATGGGAGGAGGGTTAAGAACCAAACCTCCTAAGCCCCCCCCCCCCCCCCTTAGCTACTCTTTCATCAGGCCGTGCTCGTAATGGAGGTCTCTCGCCGAGATCGCACCTCCGGGGCAAGTACATGATTTGTTGAACAGAAGTTTAAGGGGACGGCAGGATTTCATGGGAAAGAGAAGACCTTCATGCTATGTTTTTTTTTATTCCATGGAGAAAAATAACTTTTCCCCTCATCCAACTGGTCAACCACATCTCTACTTTCTCACTTGAGTTTAGAACCAAAAACCCATCAGCTCCCCTCTTTGGGTTTTCAAACGTCGCTGGGTTGTGCAGATTGTTGTGTCTGGAGCCTTTGGAGCATACAGTGAAAGCACAGACTGTAGCCAGAGCTGGATATAGGGCCTTTGCCCCCCCCCCCCCTCTCTCTCACTGCTCTGCTCCGGCTCTTTTTGTGTTTAGTCATGGCCTCCTGTCCCAGCCTCGGGTTTCATTAATTATTAATGACCCAGAGGGTGCCGGGCCTCTTGTGGCTCTTAAGGTCCTTGACCCGGTCGCCTGACCAGTCCTGAGCTTTCTGTTGTTATCTCAGCTTCAGTGGATGATGACCTCTTCACTGGAGTCACAAAGTGGTCAGAGGAGGGAGGGGTGTACAGGTAGAGTGATTATGAAGACCTGTGGACGGCTTCTTTCAAAGCGACCTCATTGTGCCTTTATTGCATGAAGCTTTAGGAGAAAACTACGCTTTCCTCGGGGAAATGTTTGTGACCTTTTGTTGTGACTTAAGACTTTTAGACACCGGGGGCGTCACAGATAAACAACCCAAAAATGCGGAAAAGAAGGAATTATATAAGTCAAGGTAACAGAGAGGATCTGGTCTGCGCTGCCTTTGTCAAGGTTGAAAGGAGTAATAAAGTTTGCCCTCTTGGTTCAGCCTACAGAGCCTCCCTGTTGCCGTTTCATGAATATAGACGCAACTAAAAACATTCTGCACAGCATGATTGGTCGATGCCTTTATTCACTCTTTCCTGGAAAAATATATTGAGGTGCAAATAATCTGCATGAAAGAAATCGCCTCCACTCTGTAAAAAAAACCCAAAATCAAAGATACATATTCTTCCTCATACATGTCGTGCTATTTATCATCAATCTAGATTGTTCCAATGGGAGTTGCAGAGTTTTGGAGATATCGGCCGTAGATGTTGTCTTCCTTCTCTCCAGTATAACGGGACTATAAGGCGCTCAGCTTGTGGTGCTCAAAGCGCTGAAACTAATAGTTTCTACATTAAACGTCTCACAACGTCCACTGATTATTTTGAGTATGTCATGACTGCTGGAAAGAGACAATGATGTTAATGTGTTCACAAAGATATGTTTCGGGGCGCTGTGAGCACAACAAGCCGAGTGATTAAATCTAGTCCGATTATATGGGATAGAAAGCACACAAACAAACAATCTCACTGAGAAATAACACCACAGGTAAGAGGACAAGTATTGATCTTGTTGCATCAAACTAAATTGGGTTTAATCTCTTACAGACACTTTTGATCTCTTTCTGCCTCTAAAACCTAAAGCGTTGTGGTTTGTGAGAAACATGCTGCATCATTTGTTCGGTGTAGATCTCAAAGGCGAGCTTTGAAGATGAGAACAGAGGAGTAATACATCAGGAGAGTTTCTTTCTCGGTGACGTCACACAGCTGAGGAAGAGAAAAAGCAGAGAAACCTAGCCAACTAAGAAGCAAAAGCCAGCGGCAGACGTTGGAGAGACAACGGTGCAGTCACAAATGTGGAGGAAATTGAAAGCTGGCTGTCAAGGTTGGATGTTTTTAGCGAGTGGGTGCAGCCAACTGATCTGCACTGAATTACTTCAGGGTTAGAGAGAGTGCAAACCGGATGAGAAGTGACAGTTTGTGACTGAAGTTGGATAAAGATATGGACACGTAGGAAGAGTTAAATGATCCTTCTCCTCAGACAAGATGGACAGGAAGCCCTTTGATGTGCGAAGCAAACCTTTAAAATGCCTTTACCCAGAGCTTGAGTTTAAAATACGCTCCATCGTAACTTTGCACTTTCAGAACAGAAAAAACAACAACTTGAGAATCTGCCAAAACAGATAGAGGCATCATCGCTGTGGAGATTTTGCCACGCGGCTCAATAAACAGGCCCTGGGCTGATTATTTTCAGAGCAAACAAACAGGACTTTGGGGGGTTGTTCGGTTTAAGCGGAGCAGGACGATGGGAAGGAGGACTGGAAAGGTCTTGGAGGCATTCCTCTGCTTCAGCTGAGGTATGTCTGAGGATCAAGGCAGTGAAATTGGGACAGTGGAAAGGCTGTTTTGACAAGCTCCGTTTGAAGCGCCGCTGTCGTTATCCACGGCTGCTTCTTGGCTCGGAGAGAGAGTTTTAGAGGAAGTCACACCGACACCGACACGGAGGCGAACAGGTTCCTCCGGAGAGCAATGACAACCTCCATCGACTTCAGAAAAGTATTGAGGTTTGATACCCAGCCCTAAAGCATGATTAATCATTGAGTATATCAACAAAACCATAAAGGTCTATTAATTCTGATTCCATTTGAAGTTGACTTAAAAACAAATTTTTCATTTTTCTCTTTCGTCTCTTGGAAGATTTACGGCGATGGCAAGTGGCCCTGATGTTCGACATCTTTCGGGCCGTTTTTGTGACTGTGTCTTTCAGCCGTTGAACAGGCACCGTGGGGCAGACACGTGAAACATCGCACACCTTTTGCCCCGTACTTAACCAGCAGCCATTGTCCCCAAAAACAACGACGTGGCGATAGGGTTTCGGTGTCGTGGGGCTCCTAAACCCCTCGCGGCGCGGCTCAGGAGAGTCAAGAAGGGAGGGTGAAAGGCGATCTGCGTGGTCTAATGTCGTTTTCATACTCTCACTGTGGCCCCTGGGGTCCCGTGTGTGTGTGTGTGCGAATAGACACACTAATGCCTGAATTATAAACCACGGACTGGGTTGCCAGCAGCAGAGGGTTTGGATACAAACACTGTCACTAGCGTGCAAAGAATAGGGGCGCGAAAGCGCTCTCGCTAATGTACAAAAATACACACACCGTGCTGCAGAGGCTTAGCCCGAGTTAGCAGACGCGCACACACGCACAAAAGTGTGTCTTGTCGCTGGACGTTCAGCTGGCTGTCTCTCACTGGAATAACAGACCTCTGACCCACGGATTGCTTGTGCAATTTGCTCGTTCCGGACAGCGGCGAGGCTCGGTTGTCGTCGGGGTGTGTGGAAATGCAATTTTTGTTTTAGAGAGAGAGAAAGTGAAATGCAAAAGAATGTGGAGTGCAGAAATAGGACTGCCTGTGTGTGTGTGTGTGTGTGTGTGTGTGTGTGTTGTTGCGGGACACACATAAAGAGTACTCCACCTGGACTCTTGTTGCACGTAACTCTGCAACCTGACTCTCAGTAGCTGTAATGACCGTGACGTGTGTGTGTGCGTGTGTCTGAGTACGCAGGTGGCTGGTCGCACCAGGCGCATGGAGCCTGTGTTAATGTGTGTGAGTGTGTGTGTGTGTGTGTGTGTGTGTGTGTGTTGCTGCAGGGGACTGTCAGGGTGTTAGGGACAGTTAAGGGAGTGAGAGAAGCTGACAATAAGGCGCGGACACATTCGAGTCGCAACCCCCCCACCCTGCCAGACGCCAGGCAGGACGGCAGCTCTGTTTGTAATGGCCTCACACATAAACACGTCCAACAGGAGACCGGGAGGATAACATGTGAAGATTACTGTGAAATTAGACTTTCAGAAACGTGATCCAACACACAAAATGACTAAAAATGTATGGACATATTTTCATTTCATGACATCTGGACATCAGCGTTTAAAGACCTTGTGGTGATGTAGCACTGATAAGATCAATAAATAATGTTCAGTGTTTAGTCTAATAGCTACAAACTGCAGAGTGGGAACTTTTTAAAATCCCTTCGACACACTTGTTTTCCAAAATTGAACATCCAGCTTTGATATAACACTAAAGAACAAACCAGGGGTCATTTTTTGTTGTTCATTTAGTAAATTATGGTCCATTTAGAGTCAAACAGACCATAAAGCAGGGTATGCTTTAGGGCGGGGCTTACTGTGATTGACAGGTCGCTACCACAGCGTTGTCCGGTGTGGGAGTTGTCCGTGTTTTTGTCTTACAACTTTCACTGTTTGTTTTCAGTTCATGAAAATGAATTGTAACACTAAACTAACTTAAAGTCAGCTCACCAGAAGAGATACTTCAGTTAGCTGTAGTGCTGGAGAGCACGGTCCCGTGATGCTACGGAACATTTTGGCATCAACTTGGTACCGAAGAATCTGTTCTGGTGACATCCCCACAACATTAAATCTGTATCTCAACATCTTTGAGCCTGTGAACACTACAGGTCAATAGAGTAAAGACATATATAACTATTCCCCAGTTGATTACTTACATTAAGACTATTTATTTGTATAACAAGTTTGCTGAAATTGTACGTTTGAATATGGAAATGATGCATTATCTTTCTTGAATACATGCCAATTTGCATACATTTCCATAACAGAAATCTGAACATTGAATAAAGCCACGTTCAAAGTTCTTGAAGTTCAAAGTGTTGTTGACGCATTAGAGTCAAAGGTTTATACAGAAGGAATTTGGATATCTCTTTGTATCACTCCATAAATCAGAAAATACTG